TATTAAATAATTAATTGATTTATAGAAATGTTTTTTATCAACAATAAGCTGATATTGTTCCAAAACTAGATTTATTCGGTACAATATCAGCTTATTGTTGATAAAAATATTTCTTTAAATCAATTAATTATTTAATAGATTTTATTTAAAGAAGTATTTCATTGAAACACAAAATTTTTTCCCTCAGTACAACGCTTGACCGATTTGTTTATGTTTAGTTTCTGACTCAGACTTGAGCTGACCAGACATTTTCCCTGATCTTCCAATTGATTTAATAAACGTTTTAAGTCTTTTCTAATATTTCTTGGAGTTATTATTTCGTCATATTTTACAATATAAAGATTGGCTAAAAATTATATATCCTGAATATATTTAGATATAAGTGTGAATGAAAAGATAGGATTATGGTCCAGTTTTTTATATGGTCCATTCATTTATTTTGCAAACATGCTATGTCTTCCATTAGCTAATCCACCAATATATTGAAAAATAACTTGTTGAAAATAAACAGAAACTTTGAAAAGTGATTTTTGGTGGTAATTTAACAGAGTAAAATGTGATGGAGTAAAAACGAAAAGTGATACATAGTTTTTATTTCCAAAATACATCATAGATACGAGAGACTTCCGTGGGAAGAACTTTATACAGGATATCCTAGTGAATCAAAGTAAAAGTTAGTATTAGTTCTAAGTGAACTTCTAAACAAGACAATAATTAATCTTGAACTTTATTACTATGATACTATGACTGATATTATTTCCACTAGAAAGTATTTATAATTAATAAAAATGAAAAATTATTTTTTTTCAAAGTCAAAAACTTGTTATTATTTTTCTTACATTTATCTTAATTTATAATTAACTAATATAAAAGATTTCACATGGTTTCAGTAGTCTAGTGACTTTTTTCTTTATATAAATAAATTTTTCACAGTCATTATTCACTGATTCATTTTTAAAGAGAAATAAAGACATTTCTTTTTCTAAATAACCTTGGATTAGAAAAAAAGGGCTTAATTTACTTAATTTAAATTCTCTTTTGTAATATAATGATAATCTATTGGATATTATCACATAACTAGCAACAATCTCTGAACATGGTGGAATTATTTTATAGAAATAAATTATGGGAATCAACGTAGTCGGAAATACTTTGACTTCGCAACGAAATGAGAGAATTACGAGACAGGCTTGCGTGTATTGAATTTATCTGTGATGCTGACAGGATGTCATGCTGATAATAGTTTGCGTTTAACATTTATCAGGTCTATTAGAAGGGGTAATCACTAAAACGTCTTATTGTCATTCTTTTCATAGTCAAGTCTTCATTACAAACATCTTATGCTTCATACCTCGTCCATCCCTCTTGGAAGATAAATAATAAAAATCACTTAACACAGTGATTCAATATCATTCAAATGAATTTCAATGAGTTTAAAATCATTTCTATTTTAACAACGATTTGAAATGAAAATTTTTTGAGTGAAAATTCATTGTTTCGATTAATTTTAGAATAAAAGGTTTTTGAAACAATGTTGAACAATTTTCTCAGCGATTTTGAATAATTTTTCATTCTGTATAGTTATTTTTTTGAGCTGATAGTATGTACGCCTGAGTAATTTAATGTTCCGGCTGCATAGTGCTCACCGGATGTTCTGTGGGCTTACCTCTACTTTTTTCTCTGTCAGACAACCACACAAATGAACGTCACACCATTGTAATCTGATTTCATCAGATTTACTTTCGTTTTTTATCACAATTTTAAATCAATTTATCATAAATATAGAAAATTATTCATGTAAGTGAATGAAATAATAATTTGGAATTAATTATATGCTAAAAGATCTAAACATACAATTGAATAAAACTTTTTTGAATATTTATTCAAGTAGAAAAATCACTTGTGAAGTATTCCTGAATGTCTTACTGAGCATTTCAAGAATTTGAATAGAGTTGTGGCATAAAGAAGTTGGTGTAAAAAACGTTTGATCAGGAGTTTGAGGCTTTATATACTTATGGTTGTTTTTACATGCTTGAGTGTCTAACCAGAATTTCAATTGTCTGGGTAAAAAAAGCTCATTCCAATGGTATTTCAAAATAAATTCAGGCAATGAACATTCTACTGATAAGAATAAACAGAACTCTAATGAAATTTCTAAAAGAATTTCAAAAAAAGTTTCCTTTTCTTCAAATGTGTTATCATCTCATCATTGAAATCAATAGAAAAATAATTTTTGCATAATTTAATTATTAATTTATATTGTTTTTAATATTCGTGATTATTATAATTTTAATAACCTTCACTTCATTATGCATACATAAAAGACCGATGAATAATGTTGAATAAATCATCATATCAAACAATTATTCATTATGAAATATATAGGAAAATGTAACCTATTTATCTTCTAGTTTATTTTATTTATAATTATAATTTGTCAACTGTAACACACTTCCATTCTTCATTTTACCATTATACTAGCTTGCTCTTTGCTTCAACCTTGAATTATTTATCATAAACATATTGTTCTGAAAATAATTCATCCTTAATTATAAAAAATTTTATTACACTAGATCTATCAACATCAGGTCAACAATAGTAAAGCTGGCATAACAATCTGTAATTATTATTCCATTAGCTGATGCTTTATGAATCAGAAAATAGCATTGAAAAATTTATTGCTACAAAAAGCTAGATGTTGAAGAAATAGATAGTTGCTATTTTAACATCAGCAAGTCTTGGAATCATCAATGTAATCGTAACAGTCATTTTACAACTAGGATATCATGCTTTGTAAATAAACCTGATGTTGTAACATGCAGGTATGTGATAATCACTTTACCTTCCATCTGCTTCACCTGTGTATACTTATTACAGACTGTCATTTACTTTCACAGACATAAAAACTACTCTCAAATGAAATGAAGTTTACATTCTTACAGTAACAATCATGTGTTTATTCATCTTCCGTTGGAAGTTCTGGTATTGAAATAGTTGGAACTAATCATGTTTTCTTGCCTTACTTTCTATTTTCTATTGAACTTTTTGATATCAATTAAAGTCAACTGAACTTTGTAGAGAAATAATTGAAATTAATAGTAGAGTATTTAATTATTTCTCATTTGATCTTGTTTGATCACTTGATGTTATAAATGTTGGATATAAAATTTTAAATCGTCTTTTTTTTTGTCTAACTACTTATTCTGATCCTCGATAATTTCTTGTCCATTGCATAACATTTATTCTTTAACATGTATACTCGAATGAACACTGAGAAATACGAATAAACAAACGGAACGTAACGAGTAAGTGATCCGTACAGCGTCACATCAAGTTTATATTGAGCGCACAAGCAAAAAGAGAAAATTTATTTTTCTCTCACAGAAAGTACCTCGGTAAGGTATAAAATATCTATATCTACAAGTTAGTGGTAAAGTGTAAAGTGAGCTTTTTTATTGCATCGTTCTTATTTTGATGTTCATAATAAACTTATCTAATGAATTAATTAAATCTATAGTTATGTAAAAAAATGTTTTTATTTATTTTGTATTCACACATAGATGTATCTATAAACTTAACTTATAACATCTACACTCAATTAGACTAAAAGAATATATCATCACTGAGTTTCATAACGGAAATAGTATTCGAATTCAATTTCTTCATTTAGAGATAGCATTTCCTATTTAGTTTCTCCAAAATAAAGCTTTTAGACTTCATGAGAAAATATAGTGTTACTGTTCTACAAAAATAAGTTAATATCTTTTATATAATCTTTATCTACTATGAAGTAAACTAAAAAATACGAGAATTTTATGAAAATTGGAAATTTTAGACTATCATAAATGTAATTCAGAAGCTGTGAGTAATTTACGCTAGCAAGTCTCCAGAAGAAGATTGATCGCCGTGAGACACAAATTCCCAAGCATCTTGTTGATAGAGTATCGTATTTCGCTTGCTAAAGTGGTGCAATTCAATTCGGATTGATTTGGGCGTTGATGTTATGTACTAGAAAGCTAGGGAATTGAACGAATGAATTACTGCTCTTGTTGATTTGATCAGACTGCTTGTTGGAATAGAACTGCATTACACTATAGATTGTGATAAAAGCCATACTCATATTTATTTGGACAATTAGAGTTCTTGTGGAAGCAAACCTGTGCTATCAATTCAATATTGTTTGATTTGACAGAGGCTTCACTTCGAATATTGGTGTTTTATTTCAATGCACTGAAAGTGTTTCTATGTGACGTCAGCCATTTGATTTAACATTGATGTTACTTTTTATGCATCTTATAGTAGTAGATAAGACAGTGGTCTTGACCTGGTTAAGGGGTAATATTGCCGAGAAACTACCGGAAATCGAATTTTCCATGATCATATGAACTACAGGAAATAGAAAAAATAATTACCAATTGAATATTGGGAATAAAATTAAATTTAAAATAGTCAATCATTTTTGAAATTGAGCATAAGCAAGTTTAATAATATTTATCTGTTTGGGTAACGCGATTTTACAATTAGCTATTGGATTTATACATGAGTTCAATCAATGATCAAAAAAGTCGTTGACATAATCAAGAGTAGGAAAAGCTAAAACTAATTAAACTTTTCATATTTTTGTCTTATCTATTTTACTGATTTGATCAACACTTTTCGGTCACATATCACTTTCAGACTAACTCTGATGACACATTAGCCTGTAAGTGACTTAAGTACTGAATTCCACTGGTATTTACCGACGTCACCAGCGAGGCGTAATTACCTTTCTAATGACTTCTACCAAAATATTTTGAAACTCTCAGTTTTCCACGTACAGTTTAAACCGCGATGGTTATTTACTAATTATATATTAATTCTAATTGTAATCATAGACATTCCATCAAATAGAATTTTATTATTATTGTTATGTAAAAGAGAAATTGTTTAACTTCTTCGTACAAAATGACTTCAACTGAGAACAAAAAATATAAAATTAAATATAATGAATTTTGTTCTAGCTGGTCTGACGGCTGAAAAGGGATACTTTGGTCCTTGGAGACAATGCAAACTTCTGTTGTACAATCGAGAAAGATGTGGTACCAGTGTGTCCAGATTTCAACCAGTCTGTAAGTTGTCTGTTATTTTATCTATTTTAATTTTTGCCATTTTGTCATTGTTTTTATATTTTTCCAATTAATTAAATGCAACAGATTATAACTTTTCATTAAATAATCAAATGTAGAAAGAAAAAATGCATTTGAAGTAACAAAAGATAAATTTTTAGTGGCAGTTTGGGTTGCGGGAATAGCAGCAGCGATCGCATCTGGACTCCTGGCGATTCTCGTGGTGTTGACAGTTTTCCAGCTTGCAATGGCCTCTTCAGCGAAACGAGTTGTCATATCATATAGTACAGCTGTAATTGGCAAAGTAGCGCTTGGAACATTAGCTAGTAAGTTACATCTTTACATACTTTTTTCTCTTGAATTTACATGAATGTGTAATATCAGTCAACAATCAAATCATCGAATAATTGAATAAATGTTTCCCTATTTCTTGAAAAATTTAAATATTAATACATTCATCGATATGCACTTTGTACTCATAATATTCTAGTATGAATAAAATTGAAGTCTCTATAACTTCAAGATGCCTTCTACCTGCCTTTTATTGAGCTCACAGGGTTATTTGCATGCCATCAGAATATAACCAGCTATTTTTTTAAATTTTCTGTATGATTGTTCATCTATTCATCTTTCCGGGTTTTGATCTTGAAAACGGTTGAACTAATTCCAATGGGACTTCACCAGCAAGTAAGGAAATATAAAAGAAGGCATAATATTATCTGGGCTATTACTGATAATGTGTATAAAAAAAACAGTGTACACTTTGATACCAGTCTTCTTTTCTTACACTACAAGCAAATTTATATTCTAAGCTAAAAATTATACTGTCAAGTGAGCTCATCAAAGACTAGATTAGCTCAGATCAAAGAATATCTATTAATTTCTTCGTTTCTTCCATTGAAATAACAACCATCACTCTGGTCTCCTAGTGCTTTTCCGCGTTCGTTACGATTATTTGAGTTTGATGTTGGAACTCCATCAGAGAAAAGTTATCAGATCAGTGTTCTCGTGCATGTCCAGTGCAAGTTGTTCTGCTAGCATGAAATGGAGAAATTCTTCTTTTATTTCCCAAGTGAATTTATTGTATGGACTTAAGTGAGTTATCTCTCGGGTGAATAAAAGAAAGGAATTGGTTCCTTTTTTTCTTAAGGTCCAAGGATAATGCATGCTCTCTGCTACTGTCTAAAAGCTATGTATCTTTGATAACATTTTGATTACATCCTGAACCTTTTCTAATCATTTCTTTGAATCAATCCATTTGTTAGTGATAAGTTTCGTAATTAACTTGATAGAAATTTAAATCTGGTCCTATTCTGGAGTCTTGAACATGGCCCACCAAATTTTCGAGACACTTGGCCTAATATAGCACTTATAAGAGAATAAATTCAGACCCAGAAAAGACAATGAGACCATTAAGAAAACGTAATCAAGCCAAAACATGGCCATATTTCATTGTTACTTGGGTACTGGTGCTAACACTGATTCAACCAAATTCTAGGTACATATGCCTCGAGATGATTTAGATTGAACAAAAATGGATATATAATTATTTCATTATTAGCATTGTAAATAAAATATAATGTATTCTATTGTAAAGTATTAAATTAATAATTATTATGGACTTGATTTGACTGTTTTAGCATGCCTATCCATAGCAGCGGCTGGTTTATTTGCATTGCAGACTGATGATCAAGCGAACAGTTATGTGATTACTAGAGGCGAAGCTTTTTATATGCAGGTAAGATATTTCAACACACGTCTTGATTTACATTTTGATCAAAACGATATAAGTTTTAAAGAAAAAAGACGGTGGTGTAAATGCGATCAGAAACTTCTTCACGATCGATCTAACATCACCTGATCAACAAACGATGATGATAGCTGAATGTTTGAATTAGAAGATGCTTACCATTTTTTTTTGGTAACAATAGCCAATTGTTGATGATAAACATCAATAGATTGATGATAAACAATAGTCGATTATCATTCATTATACTCTCATAATAATGAAGACATCCAGTTATGATACATATTGTTTGATTTCTGAACACTTCTCCTAATTGGTCTCATCATGCTATCAATTGTTAGCAATTAATAATATTCATTTGTTATTTGTATTACATAATTATTCCAAAAAATTAAAGCTATTACCTTAATTAAATTCAATAAAATCGAATTTAGTGATTCCTTTAACTAACTTTTTATTCAGAAGTGATGATAATGAATCTGATTGTTGAAGTTGACACATTTAAAATTCCTGCATGATCAAATTCCTATTATTGGTATTGATGTGATACAGGTAGTCTACATGAACTAATTCTGAAAAGCTAATTGACAAAAATCATGTAGATCTCCATGGTTGCTCCTTGAGTTGTGAAATTGATGCTTCTTATTTCATTCAGTTATCGATAATCAGCATAACTACTTTCTTTTTTCACCTATTCTTCTCAATTGTTACTTCCGTGAAAAGGTGCTAAATGAAATACATAATGTTAGAAGTTAATCGGTGAGAAACAAAGGCAAGATGCTGACGCAAAAAAAAATTACAGCTCATTAGCTTGCTATAAAAACTATGTTAATTTTCTTTAATTAACTATCGGTATTAATTTCATTTAAATACAGGTCTGAAAAATTTACAAATCGTTTAATTGCTGAGAAAAAGTCTTACATCATTTCAAACTCAGAACACTCAAGAAGAAAATTTGTTTCAATTTTTTTTCATCACATTTTACCTTTATAAGTTATTTTCATGGCCTGTAATTATCCAACTTCTTTTTTCAATGCTGTAAATAAAGTGGTTATTACTCGAATAAGTGGATCTATATCGAGTAAAGTTTTTAATATAAATCGTAATGAAAAATGGACTAAGATAATATGTTCACTTAAGGGTTTATAAAGTCTACAAAAGAAGCACAGGCTTATTTTTGTAAGGAAGCTTATTGAAACACCTAAGGGACACTTGCAGATGTTCATGATTCGCAGGTGTTCTATTCAATTTCTTTAATGATTAGCCAGCATAAAAAGATGCTGTTAAAATGTCATTGTGTCTGGTAGTAAAACAACCGTTTTTCATTTAACACTATAATATCTTATATACTTTTTCAATGAAATCTGTGTTAGATACCCACATTAATGTCAACTTAATCTTCAAACTAGTATCTTACATTCGGATTAATTAAATTCATTTTCCAGCTAAACTATAATAGATCGGAAAAAATTGTTCAAATAAAAAATATTCCTTGAGTCAAAAAGAACAATTTTCATCATGACCATTTTCACTTAATTTTCAGTATTTTGAAGGTTACAAGCCATGAAAGTATTTATAAAACATGATCTATCATGGTTCCTCAATGCAAAGGCTTATAGGTCTTGGTTTTCAATCTTTTAATACATCACTCTTACAACGACAACCTGCTCCAAATCAAACCTGGACCTTAATGGTTTACTCCTTCCACTACTTTGTATCATTTTCATTTCTCTTTATATTATCTCTGACCAATGTTTATTTCTTTTTACTCTGAAAAGCAACATGGGAATTACATTTTCATCTAAAGATCCGAATGAATAAATGCGAATAGTTGGAAAGACTAAACAAGATAAATATTTCTCAGTTTGGTAGTCTCTAAGATCTCTTCCTTGTTCAATTAAAATCTCTTTTCTATATTTAGATTATATTTATTTCAGTTGGCTGCTATTGTCCTTAACTTTGGTGTCCTTGTGTCTTCTATTTATGAGGGTATTTATGCCAGGAAAGGTGGTGACCCAACAAGACTGAGAGAAGTTATTGATGTTCGTTCAGCAACAATCAACAACCCAGGCTATCGAGAGCATAATCCTACCAATGGTAAAAAGTTTTCTTTTTTATTCTTACATACTTATTGAGCCAAATGGAAAATACTATACAACTATGTGCTATCCTAGATGTTTTAAAAAAAAATATATTGAATTTGTTTTAAGTTAAATATGTTATACCAACTATAAACATCAAGTTCTAGTTATGCTTCAATGCCATAAGTTTGTGATTATTTAGATTAAATTTGTGATGGTAAAATTATTTTATTCATAATAATTCAAGACTATTGTATCAAAACTCGTAAAATCATATTTTAAAATAATGTCCTTTAACGAACATTATATAATGGTCATGAACCAATTTAAATGAACTGAAAATCTTCTTGCGTAACTCATTTCCATGAATATGTTGATTAATTATCAACATTTTTCGCATCAAAATGCTACTTTAAATTTTTATTTAACTCATTTAAAACTAAAGTAGTAGCTTCAATTTGCGGCATAATTCAAAAGCACATCGGAAATCAGTGTATTATTACGTCTTCATAAGTTTACACACTAAACACCTAAAACAGAATTGAAGCAGCACTCAGGAGCTGTCAGAATCACTTTGGTTAGTTACAAGATTATTTACATACTGCATTATCGGATCGTCATGACGAATATATTTCATAATATGGATTTTTATAATTACCCCGTGGACATACTGAAAGAATTAGAGGGAAATTATTGATCTAGAAACCAAAAGAAAATTGCTTTGGTTTGAGTAATATAAAAATGAAGGCTAGTTAAGTATTTGGCAGAAATCACCCTACTTGAGAAGAAAATCACTTCTTAACAGGATAAAATTTGGTATTCTTTTCAGAAGCAATTTGTACCTTTCAAGTAGGATAATTTTTTATCGCAGTTTTAAATTGCCATCAAATTACTCAAATTGGAATCATTTTTACCAACAATTTTTTTTAATGCTACTTTATATAATTGTACTAAGTATAGTCCATTTTGTTTTATCTTTTAAATAAATAGCTCTGTATGTTGGGGATAAAAGAAAAATCACTTTTAAGAATAATTATCAAAGCAATTTAAAAAAAAGTGATTTGCTTTATTAGTATGATGCTTAAAAAATAGCTGGTTTTATTGAAAATAGCTAGTCCAATACTGAATTAAAAAGAAAGAGTTGCCTCTCTGAAGAGTACAATTGGGTGTTATCGAAATAAATGCTAAGATAATAGATACTAAATAAATATGACTTCATGCTACACTTATAATATTAAAAAGGAGTTTACTAGGTTAAAAAAATTAAGAAAGGCAAGAAAGAAGATGTACATGATATACTACTGCATCTTTCTATAATACTATTTCCTACTATTTAAGTATCAATGTTAACTACAAATTGAAGTACATTAAAACAGCACAGATAGGAATAATTGTTGATAGAAACAGTTTACAAAAAATCAACGAATTTGGATTTAATAGTTTAGTTTTAAAGCTAATAATTGTTCATAGCTATAAAATATTAATTGAATAAATTATTCTTTAAAGGTGGCAACATATCTATGACTGATGCAAGTGGAAAGCCATATGCTAGCAGTATTAGGAATGGTTCCATGGCATCAGTAACAACGTCTGGAAGTATTGGAAGCACCACATCACCTTTAAGAAGTTCATTAAAGAAGCCAAAACCTTTAGGTATTCAGAATCCAGGTTTTTCATCGCACAGTCCTACTCTATCAAGAAATGGATCACAAAAAAAAGTCAGGATTCAAACGCATTCTACAGAAGTATAAAAATGATATTATTTTTTTATATACATCTATATGATAAATATTATAGAACACATTGTTATATTTAAAAATAATGATAATAGTGTGTTTTTTTTTTTTAAATATTTTACCAACTTTGCATAAAAAAATTGTCAATACATCTGAACAGAATGTATTGAAGATGGAACTAATCAAAACGTTGTGATAAAAAAAAAAGCAGGATAATTTCTATATTTTATTTGTTGGCATTCAACAATTAATACTTGTCAATGACATTACAATTCATCATATATATAAATAGAATATAAATAAATATGAATGCAAAAAATAACAAATTTTATTGCAAATTAAAAGATTATATATTGTAATACAGTGTGAGTCTATAAAAGATATAATCAAGAAAATTTGTAAACATAGTTTAAAAGTTTCTATTCTTTACTGACACTGTATTATATGATAGGATATATTTATTTGAATCAAATCTTATATAAATTACGACAAAATACTAAAGAAAAAGAAATTATGAAAAAATTATTTAGAAATTTATATAAGTTGACTCAAAAAGTACTCACACTTTGTTATTAATGAGAGAATATTCCAAATATTAGTAGGAATCATTTTTGAAATTATTTTTCTTTTTATAGACCAATTTTCTATCTTATAAAATATAGGAAAACTGTAGAAATGTAGGGCATCAATTATTATTGATATTAAAACAATTATCCGTCCAGCCCTCAGGCAGCTAAGTATGAAATAGTGTAAAAGATAAATATATATATATATATGAAATTGTTTTGTATGTCTTTTGTGTTTAAATAAAAAATACTGAATAAATAATGTCTATCAAAGCTTATATTATTTTATTCGTGTGCACAAAGATTAGGAAAATAAATTATTTCTCAATTGTTTAAATAATTGTAAATCAAGTGATGAATATAAATGTTAATTTATATTATAATTATCGTGATAGGTATAAAGAGTTGTTCTTGTTATCAATGGATCAATAACTTTATCATAATCGTTTATAATAAATCTCTTATATCAGTCAATCCCGATTATTTGTTACAGTATAGCCAGTATTTTGCTTTTCTATTATCGGGGATTATTGGAGCAGGTCTCGTTAGTACTTTTTAATGAATGTAGGTTTATATAATTATCAATAAAAAGTTTAAATATCATTGTCTAAAGCGAATTTACTTTAAATATTTCCAATATTGTTAAATATTTAAAAGATTTCTTTAATTAATAAATTTTTTTAAATGCATCCAAAATTTAATTGTTGCTGTTATTTCAAAAATTAATGAAGATTAGCTTGTAATACAAACATATCGATATTTATTGGTGTTTATTTTTGAATTTATCATTAATAATTAATGAGTAATTCATGGAATTATAGATGAGTTTGTAAACAAAATTATATTTTTTTAACAGAAATGATAAAAAGAGATCATTATAATTTGAAGATACGTAAATATAAATAAAAAATCATTTGAAAAATATTTAGGAACAAGTATTGCACGTGTTGTATCATAATTCAATTGAAAAAATGTACTTTGATGATGTTTTATTCTTTTAAGTGTACGAATTGATACTTATGTATTTTTTGTTATTTTTAAGACGATTCTGGATAAAAAAATTAAGAACTTGATCTAACATTATATAATTTTATCGATATCGTTTATATTAATGTCTATTTTTTTCATTAATTTATGTAGATAAAAGTGAATGCAGTATATTTAAATATAAACTGAAATAATTAATAAAAAGAATGATGTTATATGTAATGTTATTAACTTTTGTTTCCATGTACTATCATAATTATTTAGGGAAATATTTTTCAATTGCACAATTTTTTTATGATACTTGTAATTAAACATAATGTAAACTTTATTATTAATACTCTCATCAATAGATTAAGATTGTAAGTGTAAGTATGAAGCATACCAATATTTTGAAATTATCTTTCTCTCCTTCTTCTTTCACTGAAAGGTGTCAATAATTGGTATCAATAACAAAGTAATTAATAAAACTTTAAGAATATTTAAGGTAAGAAAGAAACGACAAATATAATTGTTGATATAAAAATTATTTATTTTTTTTATTTTACGCATTAAAAACTTAATTAGATAAAGATATCTCTTTGGCACACAATAAATAGCTCCTCACCTGGAGGAGATTCAAATATTGCTTTACAGTAATAAATGAACCCAAAAGTTCATTGATTGTTTTGATTGTATTTTTTTTAGTGATCTATTATTCATAATTTTATAGCTTAAAAGTCTAAAATTTGAAAGTTCGTCACAATGACGAAGAGATCAACAAACCTATAGGTATTTCTTCAATTATTAAAGTACAAGGACGGTTATCTAGTAATTTCGAACTTTTCTTCATGGATAAATTACACTGAAAGAAAAATATTGCTGTTGTAATTATACAAAGTATTGTTATAAGCGCATCTACAGTATCACATTTTGTATTATGATAAAAGTGAGGTGTGGTTAAAAGCCTTTATTTGTAATAATAAAATGTTTTGTTACTGCAGCAATATTTTTTTTTATAGTGTATTCACGAATTTCATGTTAATTTTGTAATAGGTAACTGTTAAAAATAACGTTGTTGTTCTTTGGGTGCTGAGGAAATGATTTCTCGACGTTTCCAAACTGGTGCTGTTGCTGCAGCTGTGCTACTTCGCTGACTTGAAGAATTCGATACTACTGAAGAACTCGATGAGACTGCTGACGATTTATTCACTAAGCTTTCAGCATCTGGAATATGGCGAGTTTGATGCCTCGAGTCGGTATATCTTCGTTTAGTATATTTTTTATTATCACTAGAAGTTGTTGATGATGTTGTTGGTGTTGTTGTTGATGATGATGATCCACTATTCTTTTGCCGATTATTATCAGCTTTAGAAATGCGTAACATCCTCTCTATGTCAGCTGTTTTGGATCTAAAAATGATTTAATATTTAGTTTTGAATTTTATTCAATTTTATCCTATTCTAAGTTCTTCTTGCCTGATGGATGAATGATTCAAAACTATTTTGAACTATATTGACGAAAAACTGTAAGATATAAAAATGGGGATAACTTCTATGCTAATGATGCTACGGGGTTGATCGAGGGCTCAAATGAAAGATCTGGACGAGAGGAAAGGAGCCGATATAGTGAAAATCATAATTGGAGCATAATTTATGCTAAAATTAAAGCAATTTCCCATTTTACCCCATTTTAAGAGTGAAATAATGGATTTTTCATATTTTGGACTAGATTCCGCATTTCTAGGCATTGAGAGGAAGAGAATGAGTGGTCAAACTTGAAAATCGGACAACTTTGATTTTTCGACCCCAAAAAATGGCAAGTGGTACCCCTTTCCATTTTTTTAGGCCAAAAAATAAAAGTACTCCGATTTTCAAGTTTGACCACTCATTCTCTTCCTCTCAATGCCTAGAAATGCGAAATCGAGACACAGCCCGGGAAAATTCAGTTTAACACCCTCAAAAAGGGGTAAAATTGGATACACATTACGAATCATCATCCCCTTGATTTTAAACCCTTATAACTCATGAACGGACTGTCCAATAACCATTTTTAGGGATGTTTTAGAAACATTAAAATCTGAGCTATCTAACGATATCCATAGATTTATCGAAAAAAATTTCTTTCACCCTTAAAATTGCTAAAATATAAAAAAAAACACATTTTTTTAGGAGTTTGCCTACTATTTTGGCAATTTTGAGGGTGAAATAAATTTTTTAAACATTTTTTATGAATATGTATTTTTAGCTTAGATTCTGAAGTTTCTACCTAATACCTGTCGAAATTCATTGTCGGATTATTTTTCCATGAGTTATAAGGATCCAAAGTCGAAAGTAGATGATTTTTTTGCTCTTACTTCGACTTTAGACCTCTGTAACTCGCATACAAGTTATCGAGCGATGATTCTAAGGAGGTATTTGGAAACTTCAGAATCTAAGCTAAAAATACATATTCATAAAAAATGTTTAAAAAATTTATTTCACCCTCAAAATTGCCAAAATAGTAGGCAAACTCCTAAAAAAATGTGTTTTTTTTTATATTTTAGCAATTTTAAGGGTGAAAGAAATTTTTTTCGATAAATCTATGGATATCGTTAGATAGCTCAGATTTTAATGTTTCTAAAACATCCCTAAAAATGGTTATTGGACAGTCCGTTCATGAGTTATAAGGGTTTAAAATCAAGGGGATGATGATTCGTAATGTGTATCCAATTTTACCCCTTTTTGAGGGTGTTAAACTGAATTTTCCCGGGCTGTGTCCCGATTTCGCATTTCTAGGCATTGAGAGGAAGAGAATGAGTGGTCAAACTTGAAAATCGGAGTACTTTTATTTTTTGGCCTAAAAAAATGGAAAGGGGTACCACTTGCCATTTTTTGGGGTCGAAAAATCAAAGTTGTCCGATTTTCAAGTTTGACCACTCATTCTCTTCCTCTCAATGCCTAGAAATGCGGAATCCAGTCCAAAATATGAAAAATCCATTATTTCACTCTTAAAATGGGGTAAAATGGGAAATTGCTTTAATTTTAGCATAAATTATGCTCCAATTATGATTTTCACTATATCGGCTCCTTTCCTCTCGTCCAGATCTTTCATTTGAGCCCTCGATCAACCCCGTAGCATCATTAGCATAGAAGTTATCCCCATTTTTATATCTTACAGTTTTTCGCCAACATATCATTATTTTTTATTTTTTCCATTATGTATATTGTTCTTGCAAGTAGAAAAAATTTTCAAAAAAAAAAATTTCGTTTCCCAACGATCCCCATAATCTCACGAAGGGAAAGCTGGGGAACCTTTGGGGAACGAAATTTTTTCATGCGAGTTGTCTTATCACTTCGTACCTTAATACAGCATTGCCTATGCTAGTTATACTTGGAGTATAAGCTGATGATAAAGTTGCTTTTGGTGCTTCTTGACTCATTGATCTCGATATTTCTCGAATTTCACTAGAAGTTGTAAATAGCACACGTTGAAGAACAGCTTGCTGGTCAGGAATATATGAAACTGCGGTGACAGCGCTATCAGGACTCGCTGGTGGTGATGATGCCCATGAAGGAGGAGAACTGGGGGGTTGATCTCCGGAAAGGGTAGCAGATGAACCAACTGCACTGTCACTGCCATGTCTTCCACCTAAGTGCCATTTTAACAATAACTATAGTATTTTCTATGACCATCAACAAGACTCAATGGCCAATGTTAGAACAAACATCAGCTTTTGGTCAACCTTAGTCTTTACTTAGGGACAGTTATACATAGCTTTGTCAAGAGAGAAGATTTGAAAATTTAACTATTTCGATCAGAAAAACAGAAAAACAAGTTGTGATAGATAAAATTATTTTGACCTCCAATATTGTTTACCAAGAAGTTTTATAGAAAATAAATACATTTTATATATTTTTTTTTTATATTTATGACTGTACAATCTATTTTCAAATTGATTTTCTCGACAATTATAACAGTTAGTTCTTGATATTTATTTTTTTTCGTAAAGTTTTTGTACAGGTCTAACTAGTAGTTGTTTATTTATGTAGAAAATAATATGCCTTACCTTCACTACATCCAGAAATAGATCTTTGTCTTTGTCTTCTTGGAGGTGCAGCTGGCTGTTTAGGCTGTTCTTCAATGTAAGGAATATCTGGATCATCGAGATTTAGCGTGAATGCTCCAGACATAGGGATTGTGAGACTAGCTGTGATAACCATTGGAGATGATCTCCTCCGTGAGTCAGTTGGATCTTCACTTGATCCACTATCTACACTATTACTTCTTCCATCCTCTTTTCGTCTAGATCCCGGCCTTTTTGGTCTTCTTGGCTTTGGCCCTATATCACCACCTATACCTGCCATCTGATGTAAACATTCCTCACGTGACCATATTTTTTTTGTTGTTTGAGGAATCGATGAAACATTAGATTCTTCGGAAAATATTTCTGGTTCACTGAATGGATCAGCCTCGTCTACACATTGCCTGCGGATTCAATTTTATTTTTAAATTTCTTATTCAATCTCTATCTCTGATAGAAAATATTGCATCTAATATTTCTCATTTAATTGGTATTTTTTTTTAAACTGAATGATATTATTTTCTACAAAAACAAAAATCTCAATAAATGATATAAAGAAGAAAAATAATACAATCAATTTCGAAAAATTGTGAAGATGATTTATGGATGAAAAAATTTCAATTTGTTATCTATTTATTAATATTTATGATTTTAAAATCAAATAGTAACCCATGAGATAGACTTGAGATTTTTTTTCTTTCTGTGGAAACTAGAAATTTTAAAATGCCTATGTTTTTATCTGAGCCTCAACTATAATTCATATCTTTTAGTAATGTTTAACTTGACAATGAGAAAATAAACAATGTTTATTGTCTCTATTTTTTTGTTAAATATCTCACATTCCCAGTAAAAATCAAAATTGGCATGTTGAGCCAGATATAAGCCACTCTTTCTACTAGGGATGGTAAAAATATAATCATGGCATATTTTTCACCAGAAATATATATTTTTTTTTTATATAAACAGTAACAATTAAAAATGAATCGAACGAGGTCATAACCTTGTAATTAGAATTAAAAAAAAGAATTAAATAATTATTAAATGAAAAAGTAATCATCAATACTCACTCTTCAGCTCGTCGAGAAAGAGCAAGGTCAAGTTCTACTGGATGAGTATCCATCATGTGGAGATAAAGTTCATCAAGAAGTGCAGCTGGGATCATGAATAAACTTGATGAGTTTTCTAATAATGCACGGACTACATTTATCACGTCAATTCTTTCCTCTGCTCTGTCTGCTGATACTTCAGATCTTGTTTGTCCTGGCTTGACACAGTGAAGAATATTTGGAGCGAATACCTTGATATAAAAGAAAGTTTCATTTTAACTTCTAATATTGTCATCTTTTTCAATAAATCTCATAATATTTAACCAAATTATTTAAGAAAAATCATTAGAAAATTATGATTTTTCATCATAATTTTACCTGCAGGTAATCATTATTAATGAAGAATATTTATCAAATATGTATATGTCAAAAGTCAATAATTTAAATTATATTATTGAATATATACAATTAATTTAATGTTGAATAAATTTATTTTCGTATGACTGAAAACATAATAACTTATTCAAGTGTGATAGGGCACAATTATTAAAATTATTTCATGAAACAAATAACACCCTAATGAGTAGTTAATTAATATGTGACGTATTGAATCAATTTTAGATTATAATTATAACAATATATATTCGTAAAAAATAAAGTATTATGCATTGTGTCATCCTGAGTGTGATACCTCATAGAGTGAAATGCTCAATAAATGACCAATGCATCAAATATTATTTGATATAAACTTGAAACTTGGTTCATGAGTTTCTTAAGTCTATTAACATATTTCCATGAAATAATTCCCATTAATTTTCCAATAACATAACATCATGCATAAATATTAATTTTTTTATACCGTGGCTAAATTAGTCGCATCCATTTTATTGCCAGGAAGCCATTCACCAGTTTCAGTTCTTACATCATCACTATTAGCAGCAACTTCAGATAAGAAGTTCAACAAAGCCCAAAGAGTTTCTCGGTTTGGAGTCGGAAGCAATTGAATAAGATGTTGAAGTGCTTCTTGTTGTAATCTTCTGTTACGTATTTCTATTAAATTGAATACCTGATTTGAATGTTGATTATTAACTTTTAAAAATTACACAAAAATATCGTTTATTTCCTTACTCTGAGTATGTACAAAAGCTTGATATAAATCTCGGCAGAGAAGAGGGTCTGGAAGATCTCGAAAATATTCCTTAAGAAGTGTTGCTACATCATGAGGACATTGGTCGGGTTCGATTTTTCTTTCTCGTCCACAATCAAAGTTTTCTCTCAACTGAAAATCAATTTTTTAAACATACATTTCAGTAAATTATAAATATAAATAATGATAATTATTAACATTGATTTGCCATTCATTAAGAAGGTTTATGTTATTTTCAAATCTTTAATATTCAATAAAATCAATTTAAACCTATGAAATCCTGCTATGAGCCATCATCAACAATTCATACATCAGAATTATCTAAAGTTATTAATCAAAGTTATTCAAGGTATTGGTCATTGTTCTCCAAGCTATACTTCTAGCATCACTATACTCAACGATCTACATGTGGATATGTTCCAGAGATATACAGTCAAGAGTGTAATAAACCAACTAAGCATTGATTCTAAACATAAAATCAACAATCATTCAAACGTACTTGCTGCTTATCTTTTCAACAAGGATCAGACCATTGAGAAGCTTATAGAACACAAACCGGCTGACTTATGCTGTTGCTTTAATAGCTATCAGAGTAGAACCTTTAATCTGATTTTGATTTACTGAACCTAGTTTATGAATTTTAATTTTCTACAGATGCTATTATGCGAAATTATAGGATTTGTTTGTTTGAATACTAAAAAATGAACTCTACATTGCAAACTTCGACTTTTGAAGCTATTTTATGTTAACACAGTTAGTATGTGTAAATATGAAATTATTTATTTGATTAATATTGTAAATACTTTCAACACACTTTGAAACTGTAGATGTAATAATGCGTGGGAGTTTTGAGAGTTCGTTTCAACAGAAAAAGGTACGTATGTACAAAACGATCAATATAGGACATAAGATAATCCTGAACTCATTAAGCTGATTAAGATTTTGTTGAAAATTTTTTAATAAGATTTGTAATTCTGCTTAATGAATTTAAGTCAAATCTTCTTTTGAGAAAAAATTAGATAATATGTGAAATTTTTCATTCATAAATTATTAATTTTTCCTTTACTTATTAAGCAGAGCTGAACATACATGCTGCAAAAAATTATGAAGATATTTAAAAGAAAGAAAAAAAAATGGATTATTGAACATCAGTGCAGTAATTAGTTTTAACAATTTTAAGGTATAATGATGATAAAAAATATTGATGTTATACAATGCTTCATTACTGTAATTGCCAGTAAAATTTATGACCACAAATGATACTTTTTATTGATTATTTTCTTTCCATTGAAAAAAATAACTTTATTTTCAAAATTGCAAAATAAAAAGTAATTGTTTCAACTGTAATAATAATAATAATAATAATAATAATATTTACTAAAAATCTTTTGTTTTATATTTCTTCAATTGCCTAGGATTATATAATTTTATCAATAATTTGAATGTCTCAAAATCAATGACACAACTTTTGAATAACTGATAAAATGATAATAATTATTATAGATAATACTCACGAAAGTAGCTGGAACCGTATAATTTACTCCAAAAAGAGAAAGCAATTGGAAAATGAACACATTAGATGGGAATTTATTGGTGATAACGATGTCAAGGTTAACACAATTATGTAATAGATAGTATAATGACTCACTTGTCTAACTCTTTTTTTTGAAGGTGAAACTCGAAAAATTCCTAATGTTCTCAAGCCCTTGAGTTCTAGGTGTTTTATACATTGTCGGACAATCACAGGTACAGCATCCCACTCGTTTGGAGGTCTTCCATCACCACTGTCACTCAACTCTGACCCACCCGGGTCAGTATTTGATAGAATACCACCCTTCGATGACAGAGATTCACACGATCCATTCTAAAATTGAAAAGAAAATTGAGATAAATAACTTGCACTTTACCTAATAGGTTTATTTCACCTGTACGATATTAACAAGTACATACATTCATATATTTAGCCTTAACTTAAATATATAGATATTGTAATTAGACCATATTAACAAATGAATCAGTAGTTACAAACGAATTTTACAATCATTGAGGTATTTAGCAATGTTTACCCAAGCAAGAATGTTGGGTGCCTTTAACAAAAGTTGAACATTTAGTTGGTTCGACACTTTAAGTTTATTTAAATTTTTTAGAAGTGATATGTGCTCTTTAGCATATAGTTCACAGTGGCACAAATCATTTTCTAGTATTTCCACACGTTTCAAGGTGGGAATACTATAAAAGTAGTAAATAATAATTCTTTTTAATATAAATAAAATTGGTTTATTATGAAAGAAATATTTATTTATGATCAAGAAATTATTGAGTTAGTAAAATAAAAAAAAAATATTCATTGATAGTAAAATAATTGTTGATATTAATAAATAAAACTAGTGGTTTTTGGAATAAAAAAATACTCTTAATGAAAATATGCTTTTTTTATTATCTAACTTGTTTAAATGTGAATTTAATAACTTCTTTAAGATAATTCACTTTTAAAAAAAAATTCATACTATGTCAATAGATTAGACTTTTCCCGAGAAAGAGATAGAGAATTATTTGCATTTTTATTCTGAATCTCTGAGCAAAGTGTCCTATCATCTCAGTACATTACATTTGGCTTTCGAAATAAAAAATATTTATCATAATAAAACATTTCCTCTGCTGTTGTTTTATCATTTTTATAAAACTCTCTTATGTAAAGTACATTATTTCTATCAAAAATTATTATCCAATAATAAAATGTTTTCTAATCACACCCCATTATCATCCATTAAAGGAGATTAGATTTTTTAAGAACTTAAGAGTAAAGATTTAAATTAATCTGATTATTTATTAAATACAAAAAAAATTTATAAGTTAATAAATTATTTCTTTCTATAAATACAAGTGAAATGAGATTAAAAAAATTTCGAGATTTAGTTTATATTACAAATAAAAAAATGTTAAGAATTAAAATTACAATTGATAAAGAACGAGAAAATGTTAAGGAGACAAAAGTAATCTTGCTGCATATACAAATATATTTAATGCTATATAGTTTATTGTGGTTCATCTTCTAATTTAAGAATAGCTTTTAAATATAAATAAATGAATAATTTATATAAATATAAATTAATTTTTTATAAATAAATTAATTATTAAATTGGCCTATATTTTGACATATATCCTATTTTTAATAAAGTTATCAAACACAATTAATTTTCGCACAAAATCAAAGCCATTACAAAAGTAAAGATAAATTAATTCAACAAATCATGATAGCTTCTTTTCGACCCTATTCTATTCTTAATTTAGCCGATGTATGACGTCATTTATGAACTCGTCTATTTCCCTTATTACTCACGTGACGTTTTCGTTACAGCTGGGTTTTAATTTGATTTCAGTCACGTCAGAAATGACGTAAAATTCTTTTTATTCTATCAACTATTCCACGTAAGTCTTCACTTTTTTAACGATTTCATTCATTACACTTTATTCCATTTGATTAAATCAATCAACAAAAAATAAATATAAACAACTCTTTTTTTTTAATTTCTTTTTATCAGTATAAATGACTTTGATGAATTCGAAAGAATTGATTTTACTCAATTAGTTATAAGTGGTATTAACTTCTTTCATAATTGAATATACTGATTAGTTTTATGCATTATTAATACATCAAAATATAAAGAAAAATAATTTGTCAGAATAAGAGGATTGCATTAATAAAATTTACCGAACCATATCGTTGACGTCATGTTAATGACATTACAAAAAAGAAGGCATTTTTGACGTCAAATATGTCATTTAAAAGTTCTTTTTCAGATCAAGATGATTTATGATAATGCAGAGAAGATAATCTTCTTATGATCTTGGTATTTTATTTTATTAAGTAATCTTTTGAAGAAGATTCTTCTTCATTGATAGACAAAGAGAAAGATATTGATGAAGAATTCATAATTCATAAAAAAATAATTTTTACACCGACTCCAATTTCATTACTTATTTCCTCAATTTTTTTTTTAAATTACAGTACAATTTAATTTCTAAATTTAACTCTATTGTGTCAGGATGATATTTAGAAAATGAATCTTGCATCGTAATTATGCTGTAATTTTATAATTTCATTTTATGTAGTATAATAAATTGTAATAAAATTTCAACTTGATTATCTTCATTTCATAATTTTCATTGTTAACTTATCAGTAGGAAATTATTGTAATGGGCTCAATTTATCAAAGTGCAAATCCTTGGGGTCGGATGTTATGGTTTTTAGGAGAATTCTTGTGCGTGTGTGTGTGTGTGTGCACTGAGAAAAATCGACATAGTTGTATTTACCATCATGTGTTATTGCCCTATTAAAACACCTCAGCAATTCTGAAATAGTTGACGTTATGGGTCGAATGCAATTGGTCCCACGTCGATATCATTTTTTGTTCTCGAGATAATCAAGGTGAAAAATAATTCCGAACGCACGTATGCACACACAGACGTCCACTGGAAAACTGTTGTAGTCACTTTTAACACATTTCTAAGTGTGTAAAAAGTGACTACAATGTTAATCAAATGGGTGCCGTCATATTTAACACACTTATCCGCATTAAAATAATGCATTTTGGAAAACTGGGATTTACAGTGCATTGAGAATGCGGTAATTATTTAGTTTAGGTTTCATATGCCCGATTTCCTTGAAATTTTAGTATGTTATACAGTTTTTTATGCTGAATAAGAATATATATATATATATATATATATGTTGGGCGCGGAAAACATTCCTTCACATAGTTTTTGAGGTTTGAAAATTGGGAAATGTACACTATCTTGAATAGTTGGTATTTTGCAAATACTTGATGTTGGAGAGGATTGAGGGTGGGGGCTGTTAAAAATTTAGACCAGCTTTTTAACACCCCCGCCTCACCCTCAATCCTCTCCAACATTAAATATAATTAGTTACGACTAATATAATGACACAAATTATTTTCCAACAATAATAATTTATTTAGTAGTACAAATAATCATCAATTTCTATCGGATACATTCGTGAAATTTCTTTCATAAATGCTTCAATTCTATTTGAATATGAATAATATCCTTTAAATAAAAAAATTTCACCTCTTAGCACTTTTTGATCAATTAAAAAATCGATTAATTTATTACGATCACCAGCGAGCTCCAAAAATTGATATTGTGTGATCATATTCGCTTCAATATTTCAACTGATGAAATATTTATCATATTTCGAAATTTTTGACTAAAATTTTGAAACAAATCATAGAAGCAGACAATAACAAAGAAATGTAAACAAAGAAATCGATGTGTTGTGCAAATTCTTGCGTGATGACATCATTATGATCGAATAAAGTGCTACTGAGATAAAATCTAATGCATGTTTTTATCTAACTTTCAAACCTTGAAAAAGTATGTGAAGGAATATTTTCCGCGCCCTATATATTGTAAAATAAGACCAAATAACAACTTCGGAAAATTAATGAATAAAGAAAAATGTTTATTAAAGATTGACAGCAATTAATTAGAAAGAAAGAATCCGTGCGGTTCACTCAAGTCTCAGTCAAAAACTGGAGATAAACAAACTCTCCCCTCGTTGCTATAAACAATCTAATCGTCAAGCAATCGTCGTTAACTAACAAACTGTCGTTAGTCTAATAGTCATTAGATGGCGACATACAAATATTTTACAATACATATCAAATTAATCAGCATAATTTTCTCTACAACATGCTAAAATTCCAAGAAAATCAGACGTATGCAACCTAAACTAAATAATTACCAAATATGTTATAATCCATACCATTCGAACGGTTCTTATTCTAGATTAAGCTTTTCAAATAGTAGGTCATTAATTACATATGTATATATTGCTGACGTTTTATAATTTTGTAATATCATAAACCCTGACCTTTCCTAGTAGTTTTCGTGTTATTACAAAGTATTAAATATCTTAGGATCATTCCACGATAGTTGACGTAGTTTAGGCGTAGACATACTAAAACAGTTGAGGGATTCAGCTGTTTTTATATTAGTAGTCTCAGACCCACCATGCTATTTATTTATATATTTGTCTCTAGAAGTGTTTTTCAATATCCTTCATATTTTTTACTAGACTCAATTTATTTCCAATTTTTATTTTTGTTTTTCTATATCTATGCAAAAATGTCTGGTTATTTCAGTGGGAATTTAAATAATAGTCCAAATTTTGAACCATAAGATAAAATAAGTTATACATATTTGATAAATTTACATGAAATTCCTTATTCCAGATGACGTTCAATCCAATAAGCATGAGATATTTCTGAAGCCCAGCTCAGAAAAATTATCTTTGATCAAACTATTATGTCAAAGTATCTAAGCATATCTCAGTGCAAATATTTTGATTATATATTTTTATTATTCTCATTTTCATACGATGGATATTTAATCATCGAAGTTTTTCAACATATATTTAACTTACCAATTAATTAGAAATTTTCTATTTAATGATTTTGCAAATAACAGTAAAATTTCCATACTTATCAAATTTATTATATTAAATCAAACATAAGGCTGGTTTAATGTCTCTAATCGAATTTTAGCAGACATATTGTCTGAACATTAATCAGTTATTGCCTATTGTAACGAATACGATTATTCCTGGAGCACAAGTGTACAATAATAATTAATTAGTAAGAAAATATGAGACAATACTTACATCATCTATTTTGGAAACAGCTGCGGTAGGCGTTTCAATAAGACTAGAAAAGCTAGTTCTACTGCCATGTCTACTGCTTCTAGATAAACTGCCTATGTCAGCTACATCTCCAGCGGCTATTCTGGCTAATCTGTCATTCTCTAGGCATTGTGATATTGGAATCCCAAAAACAAGGCCTCCCAAGGAATCTGCAATTTTTATATATTTATTTCTTTCAAATATTATAAGTTATCAACACCTTACAAGTTTTATAACTATTGTCAACGCAGTTTCTATAAATCCTTATTTTTCTGCTGATAAAATAATGATCCCAAATCAAGTCTTGCTAGGAATCGAATGACTTATGATAAAAATCTGTGCTAGGTCATGTGAATCAGGTCAGACATTTAGACTGTATGTATGATTGTATGAAATATGATTACTCTGATAATTGATGTGTACAGTTTTTCGAAGTCAGAGAGATCAAGATGTATCTCTAGACTAGCATAAGACAAATCTTTGAAAAATTATGATACTGTTTCAAGAATCTAAACAAGAATGGTTGTCCAGGTAGAAATTTATCTGGAATAAAGTTAGACTCGGCTAGTTTTTATATTTTGGATAGATTTTATATACGGGTGCTAGGTTGTACTAAATAGACTTTTACCTAGGTGATTGCTCATACATAATCAGCAGTGATTGTCGATTAATTATGTTTATTTTTGAATTTACAAATCACGAGTGTGTTGTTTATAAAACCACTTGTTTAGTAAATTGTGTACTCTCTTAAGCTGAATCGACCGTTAATATTATTTTTTCATAAATGGATTTTTTTTTCTAGATGGACAGACCTCAGGTCCATGAATCCACTTTCGTCTTTATACGACAGACAGTTTATTTAAGAAGGATTCTGACTCTCTTGATGAGGGAATTAATGACTAGAGTTCAAGATATGTTCAATAGTAACTGGAACTCCAATACCGTGTTCCTACTTTCTTAAACTGAATCATTAAAAACTATTGCGAATCAGTGAATATTCACTGATATCCAGTGCCAATCCAATGACTGATTCACTCAGTGATAAGATTGGCACTGGCAATCAGTGAATATTCACTGATTCGCAGTAATTTTCACTGATTCAGTGATTGAATACAATTCAGACAACGATCCCAATGATAACCGGATCATCTATGAAATGCATCATTTTATATTGCTATGGAATTACCTTTTCCATTACCTTATCCATTATTGTTGAAATGAAAATATGTCATCTATAATAAATATCATAATATTTACTCATTTTGGAAAATTACAACTTTTGAACATGGAATGATTATCACATACCACTTGGTTTACAACTGAGATTCCATTATCTTTACATTTTTTTTTTGCTCCAGTCAACGTGATTTTAGAGATCAGTTAAAATTACATGATCTAAGAAAAAATAGCATGTATAAATATATATGATATACAATCATTTTGTAATCTTTAAAAATATCGAAACTACTCTGTTAGTAAATTAAACATATAATTTGATTTTCTTTATAGAAAAAAAACGTTAAAATTGAAAATTTTTTTTTGTTCTTTAAAATGATAGCATAAAAAATTGTAAAGTATTCAAATGCCATTATATTGCATACAGAAAAATATTAAATAATATATTAAATATTCTACATATTTCTATAAGTAAAAGTCAAAAAAATATTATTCTATTTCTTTCTTTACTTTAAAATCATCATTTTATTTGTTAATATCACCAAATATCATACAATACCACGCTAAATGATATTATTCCTCATTTGCCAATAAAAGCGTCTGCTAAAATAATCTTGGCAATTTCTTATTAGAAGAAATAATGGTAAATTTAAGTAAATAAATGATAGAATATAGGCCTACAAGAGCTTGGGTTTACGGATAACGATGTCCCTACACGGAGAAAAAATTCCAATAAAAATTACCGTGCTCAGCACAACAATCCACGCGCAAATGTCAATTCCCTAAAAAATTAAGACAACCTTCAAAGAAAAATTAGTAATCCTTTTAAAATTTTTATTATAGATTCAATATTTATTAAGAAGAGTAAAAGTAAAAATTCTTATGCAGCACGGTAATATTCGATAAATATTAATTTTTATTCAAACTTTAAACAAAAATTAGTAAGTGACTAGAAAAAAATGAGAATCTGTATATAATTTATTATGATCCGTGTGGTAGGAAAAATTCGGGTGCTCTCCTATAATTTTTTCTATTCTCGAGAGTTTCCGTGCTGGGTCGGGAATCTTCGAATTATCGGTCCAACACAATCTTTCTTTGTATTGTAAGACCGTTCACACAATCAAAAACATAAGCCGTAAAACGTACAATTTAAGACGTACGCGTGCATACTAACATCATAATAAGTTAAAAATTGGTTTGTACGCATGCGTACATCTTACGGCTTTTGTTTTTGATTGTGTGAACACCCTCAGTGCTATAGTTACTTTTTCCATATTGTAAACAAAGATGACATTCATATTTTTCGTTACGATTCAATATTGGCGGCAACACGTTATATCTTAACAATTTATGATAAGCTTAAACGGATTGACGCGGTGGACTCATGGGTAAGCGTCAGCTTGACACACGATGGGTCGCGGGTTCGAGTCCCGGCCGAGACAAAAGTCATTTATATGATTTTTCTCGGGCCACCGTGAGCGGGAGAGGAAGATCTCTTCGGAGAGCCGGGTGGTTGTATCGACGACACAGGTTTTCTGCGTAAGATCCCGATCGTAGGGATAGGGGGGGGCAGTATTGTAAAACGTGTGCCGTATTTCATTCCAACGAATTAATTAGTTAAGAAAGTTAATTATCAATGAACCTAATTTATTTATTTATTTGTTTATATAACCAAAAAAATTATCACTAAACTTAAATAAAATTGTTTGTCGGTTACGTAGTTATCACAGCTAACGTTACTAAATTTTCAGGTGCTGTGGAACACTAAATTTTCTGGTGCTGCCAAAGTAATTTTCAAAAAACTGAATGATACATTTTCTTATGTAACTTATAATTTTTGTATGTTGATCATTACTTTTTACTTTTCAGTAAGTTTGAACTCACATTCTTGAGCAGCACGGTAATTTTTGTATGGATTTTTAAATAAAAATTAACGGAATTTTTTCTCCGTGTACTTAGATCCGATTATAGAACTCGATCTGGGCCACGTGAATGAGTATTTCTTATATGTTTAACTTGATATACACCATGTAGTATTACGAATGGCTTGAAAGGCTCCATAGCTTGAAAGGAAAAAGAGAAAAGTTTTATTCCAGATTACTAATAGAAATCACAATGCTGATACTCCCCCTACTATTTGCTAGTATTAATAGTAAAAATAATAATGAAAATGGTGATAAAATAAAGACATGACAAAAATAACTAATTAAATAATATTATTTTATATGATTGTAGTTAATTATAATTTTTAAATATAGAAAAGTATTCTTTTCAGTTTCTGTTACGAAAATCTGCAAAGTGAGTGACCTCTTGGCAAAGATACTTCGATTGACGTAGGGTATTAGAGAAGTGCTTCCCACTTTTATGTTGAAAAGAGGAAGGGGGTATGCAAAAAATAGAATTTGAGGGTGCATACCCGGGCACTTCGATCGCAAATAAACCCAGTATATGCGGAAATATGCAACGCCACCGACTACCCCGTTACTAAATTTAGACTACGTAATTGTGTCTCATACCAGTCCGAACGATGATGTTAACGAAAATTTCTCAGGGCCGAAAGAAACGTAGTTGCATTCTACACATATGAAAAATTATTTCGCTCACGTCAAGGAATTAGAGTTAACTATATTCAATTATTATGAATGTCGTCAATTTACGAACTACATTTATTGCAGAAAATTCTTCAATAAAATTTTCTTTAAATAATTTAACGCATATTTGAAAATTTTTATTATATAAATTTAATTTAAAAGATTAAATTCTGATTTTCATTACATTTTTATCTTACTTGTCAATCAAAGTAACAACAGGATTTAATTAAATCATATTTTATTATTATTAATAATCTTAACTGATTACTATCAATAGTATGTATGTAATCATGATTAATTGTTTTAAATTATTATTAAGAATTTTTAATTCCAATATATAATATTTAATTATGGCAAGCAAAAATATTGCTTAATAAATGACATGTTTCCTTTTATTATTCAATTTTTTTTTAATTTCTGTTATTAAGTTCTCGTCACACACAATGCATTTGTTTGAATATTTTACTTTTTATTTTACATTACCGTTTGGTGCTATGTGATCCTATTAATGATTACTAACTGTTGGCTTTGTTTATAATAATAAGAAATAAATAAATAAATAAAAAGAACCAAAGATTTACCATTGTCTTACTATAATAACTCTTTTTTTATTTTATTAATTAATAATGCAAGATTTTATCTTGCACCCACCTAATAGTATATTTTTCATTTTACTTTAATTTATTTTATTAAAAAAAATTATCAAACAATTGTTTTCTATCTATTCTTTATCAAACAATGATTGCTAAATAAATTTTAGAGTAAAAAAACTTTAATTTTATATGTAAAATTCTTTAGACACATCCTATTTATACTATCTCAATTAAAGTTAAATATATTCAATAAAAAAAAATTATATGGCATAGGAAAATTCCTTTAGCAATACAATTTCAAAGGGTTAAATAAAATAGCAGCTTGACGAAATCATCGTCTATCCACATCGACCTTCAAAGTTTCTCGAAGTAATGTCTCAACTTGTTTTTAAGTAATCATTCCAAAACAATGTCTACGTACACACATAGACGATGGCTCACAAATGATTGCAAGTGACTTTGAAAACTTCAAAACATTAGATATATTATCATTTAAACTAAAAAAAAAAAATAATTGTTAATATTTTTAATGATCAGAAGTTATATTCTTCAGTACCAGATAAACTCTTAATTGTTAAGTAAGCTCTCAATAATTGCTTCTATATAAGCTTTTTGGTTATTGTAGTGAGTAGAAATAGACATGACGACAGTAAATTTGAAAATACTTTTACTTGGTACTCTTATTTGCTGGGTGCAAGATTGATGCTGTCCTCATTTTGTTGGACTCTCTATGTTGGATCTTATGGAGCGAAATTAGTTGAATTGGTCAGCAGGAATATTAAAAGTTCCCATAAGATTATGTATTTAAGTGACACTTAGCACTAATTCTTCCTTTCAACAACTTGCACCCAGCCAATAGGAATTGCTTTATTTTATTTTGTATAAAATTCTTTTTTTTTTGATAATAGGTATTTACTTTTCACCATCAGCTTCACATCAATGATTGGAATATTGTTAGAATAGAAGTTTATGCTTTGATCTTAATTAGCAATGATTGGTAACAGATAATTCTTTATTTTTCTAGTGGAACATCTGATGACCATGTTTCATTGTTAGATGTATTTCACTACAAAATATATTAGTTGCTTAATAATTAGTTGTTTTCATAATTAAAATATTGAAAATATTAAAGATTAATTGTGACTTCACTCAAAGATAGTGATCATTATTATTTAAAAGTGTGAAGATAATTTTTTCAATCAATTTGACTAGTAAATTAGGAAAAAGGCTAGTTAAAATTGATTCCATTAATAATTTGTTATTACATTTTTATAAATCAAGATTTTATCAAATTTATTGAGTCAATATTTTATTAAAAATAAAAAAATTTAATACGAAACATAATTTTTAGTTCTAGGAAGCAAAATATCTTGCAGTACACTTTTTGGAGTAAAAAAACTTTTGTTATAAAATCAATGTCAACATTTTTTAATTAAATAATTATTAATTTTAAAAATAAAAATTGCTAAAAACTTACACAAGTGAATTTAAGTTTTCAGCAAATAGTTATTTAAACAGTCGACTCTCATTAATTCAAACCTCTCTATAATTCAAAGTTATCACAAGTTCCCTACAAAATTCTTTTATATTTCAAACCATTTGATATTTCAAACACTCGATAATTCGTAATATTTTAAGAGTCCCTCGAGTTTCGAATTAATGAGAGTCGACTGTATTATTAAAAATTTTATTTCAAGTAAAATAAACACTAAATCAAACATATTGAAGATTTATATGATTTAATAAGATTAATAAATAATGATTAATGATGATAATAATATCGAGAGTAAGCTCATTATTTGATAAACAAAAAAAAAACATAAGCCAACTTGTATAAATTATGCAATTAATGAAAACAATCAAAATGAGTATAAATCTCAAAATAAACTTATCTTAGAAATTTTTGGTCTAGTATAAATAAGATCAGATGACAATATGCCGTGTATTACTTAACTAAAGCTTGAAAAATATATTATTTATTTATTTTCAATAAATAATTTTGAATAAAAAAAATACTGTGACTGTAAAAAACTTTATGTTTATCCATGAAACGCTTAAAATAACTATTATCGTTATGATTTTAGACTATTTGTAAGAATACAACGTATAAATAGTATCAGAAGCTATTACTAGACATTAGAATGCTACAAAATACGCTGCATATGCGCTAACTAATACTATCCCACTCGAATACAAATAAATTGGGTGTTACTTATAAGAAATATATCATATCCACATACACATGATGTAAAGAAATTCAATTGTTCATTATATGACCCCTGTTAAGCATTCCTACTATTTTTTTTTATCACACCAGTATTAATAATATTTTCTATAATTTGTGTTCCAAGTAATATGCAGTGGAATGATTGATTAAAAATAATCAATTATCATATCGTCATTATTATTACATCTTCAACTTAATTCCTAATTTTTGGTGCTTGACACAGAAATACTCAACAGAATCCATATATGTCACATAATATATGATCGCAATAACACTTACCCTTATATTTATCTTCTTTCGTCTTATTCTCAAAAAATCCTGTTGTCAATGCTTTCCTTTTGAGTAGATACGCTCTTCTTTTAGGTTTATTAGATACTGAGCTTGAGCCTAATGTTTCTGGAAAATAAATGTATTTAAAGTCTATTTCTTATGTAAATTTAGTGAAGATATTTTTAAAAGTTTAAACATTAGGTCAAAAATTGAGTATGATATGTTGGTGTAAGTTTTTGATTATTAAATATAAAATAATTGATGATGAAAGTGATAAAATTATTAATATGAATGATATTATAAATGAACTCTTTAATTTATTTACCACTTGGTGGTCTTATATGAACGCCAAGATTGAGAGCTTGAAGTTTGGCTACAGCAACCTTGCAAAGTACTTTTTGCTCAACTTCAGATAACACTCGTAGAGGAATATCTTGGAGAGTGACACGACGTCCACCTGTTCCAGCCCACGTGCATTTTCCCTGTTGAAATAAAATTTTTTATTAATCATCACTCCTACATATGTATGTCTATTTCAATATTGTGCAATATTGTTTTCATTCATTTTATTTTTATAAATATCCCAATTTACTCTAAAATTTGAGATATTTATTGCAAAAAATTTTAATGAAAGAGAAAAGAATGATAAGTTAAAGTTAGTCAGTAAGAAAGTAATTTTTTGGAAGAGTAAATTGGTTGCCATCATTCAACATGACAAGATGAAGAGAAGAATTTCAGAAGATAAAAGACACTTTCCCTGACGAGCATACATGAATACCTCTCAAGTGATAAAACATTTTAGGGTCGCAATAATGGGGTGATTGAAAAAATTGTTTTTCTTTGGGTTAATAATTTTTTTTGTCAGCTTAACTGCTGATAGAATTGAAGGCAATTAATTATTTTATTTAGTAGTTGTAATTAATTATCTTCTCTATACAGAAAGAAAGATTGAATAATAATTACCCTGTAATTTAGAATATCTAAAGTACACTGCACAAACAAAGTAAAATATTCTACTGTTATTAGTAAATTATTTTCTTACTCTATACCTAAGCATGCAAGTCATTCTAATCTTGTTAATTTAAGATCACTTTCTGATAATAAATATTAGAATAGCTTTTCTTACCTGGGGTGTCCATACCGAAGGCTGATTAACTCTAGATGTACTTTTACTCCTGGACCTCCAGATTTTTTTAGCAACCAATCGACTACCATGATGGACAACACTGCTTGAAGACTTGCTCTTCTGCATTGCTGTTCCACCTGCGGAATTTGAAGAGTTAAGTGCAGGTGATGCAGGAGCAGAATGAGGTTTATCCTTATGGGGATTAGTACCATGAAGAAGTTGGGAAAGAAAGGATTGATGATGTTTTGGAGTACTAGGAGGTTCTTCATAACCAAGACCTGCATCAATACTACTTCTTGAGCTGGCGTTTCTACTTATAGGAGAGGTTGTATCAGCATCCGATAAATTATCGAATCCTTCATTAGAAATTAAAGCAGATTCCCTTAAACTATGGATCCAATTATCATCAGTTTGAGAAGCTTTATTATTATCACAAGTTTCTCCAGGTACATCGATTTCTCCTTTAGCTTTAATGTATCTCAAATTTCGATCATAATTGACTCTCTTGAATCTATCAGTTTTATCAATGTCAACAGACTTCTTCCGAGCCATTCTCAAATATCTCTTAATAGTATCACTGACAGATGGTGATACATCATCAATTTCAACACTACTTCGCCGTCTTGAACTTTTTCCGCTGTCTTTAGAACCACTTTCTTCTTTTTCTTTTTCTGTTGAAAATAAGTCTAATATTTGTTTCGTCAACGGGTCTGTTTGGACAATAACATCAGCAAAACTTCTATCAGTGCTCGGTTTTTGAACTGCTATTAATGGTGGTGGAGAAACAATATCACGTTTTGAAGGTAACCAATCATGATCAATTTCTTTTTGATTATAATGACTACGAAGATTCCATGAATGAGGTGGTGATGTATAAGCACCAGTTGTCCTGGTTCCTCTGAATCCTCTAGTACATCTCAAGTCAAAATACAGCTTTTCTAAAAGTTTCCTATCAGTTAGAATTGAAGATATCGCATGTTCTCGATTCGATGATTTAGCATAGTGACGACTTAAAGTTTCCACAAGTGATTTATGAACGTAATCTCCACGATAAGGAAGCATACTTGATGCAGAGTTTTCTCCCAATTTATTCGGATCTTTCGCAACATTTCTTGATGCTTCCGGCTTGTCTTCGATCATGATTAATTCTAGATGCTGTTGTAATTTTTTTACTAAATTTTCATAATCAAATGGAAGTTTTGAAGCTGTTTGATCAGATGTATTTTTTACTTTAGCATTTTCCGACGTTGTGACAGTTTCTGATTGCATATTCAAATATTTCTGCAACATATCAGCTAGGATTTTAGTTTCAAAATCTTCTTGAGTAGTTTTTTTTCGTGCTACAGGTGTTGTTGGTGTACTTCCAGATGATAGAAACCAATCTCTTTTGGCTTTACAAATATCAAAACGACCTCCAGATGCTGTTGGATAAAACAAATAACTGGAACTTTTGGACTCATCTGCTTCATCTGCAGAGCTTGCTTTTATTTTACAACTACCTCCTTTGATGATCCTTCTATGCCTGTGAGTTCTAAAACCTAAAGTACCAGGGTACGATGCTTTTCTCCATAAGAGAAATTTTGGCTCTTTCTGACAAACTTCTTGAAAATATTGTTCGATCTTTGGAATATCCTCTAAACGATTACAAGCACCATCTGGAATTAGACGACGTCCAGCATCTGTCATGTATCTCCATGTCTTCCGAGTGAGAAGCCATCGTTCCTTGATGGGTTTATTTGAACGCTTTCGACGTTCTCGAGATGAAGCCGGTGTTTCACGACGTGAGCTAGTGTCACTGCTATCACGCCGTGATCTACGTTTTGCACCACTAGAACGTTCCGCCATAGCGGCGTCCCTGTCCTTTTTCATCACGCGCACCACTTTCGCGGTTCTTCTGCCGCAACCACGTAATAATAAACAATACCATGAACCGGCAAACGCTACTATCAACGTGCCAAATATTTGAACAATCACGTGTTTCACTCATGCATCTGTTGATACTAATCCCACGTGACAACTTACTACGTGACACTCGATGTAGCACCAAAGTTTACTTAAAATACTGTGAACAAGCCCAGATTATCCAACGTGATCACTACGACATGAGTCGACAGTTGGTTCTGAGCTACTTGCTGGAGGCAATACTTTATTTTTTATTTTTATGCGTTGAGATCAGTCTGAAAAGTTGGAGGAGGAAAGACTTAAACAGTGATTCTTCAAATATCTATTTTTGTATCAGGCATCGATCTGATTATCCACGCGATTCCTGTAACTAAAGTAACTGTACCAAAGATTGGAGAGAGATTTTTTTCTTCAAGTATTTTAATTAGACTGATTAATTGGTATGAAGCAATTATAAATTTCAGCTGACGTCAATCTGTAATCATTGAAATATTCTTACAACGTTTTCTTTTTTTCAAGATTATCAGTTCATCGTTGCCCAAAATTCACTGCAATAAATATTTATGATCCAAAAATATAATTTACACTACTTTGGTAATTTGGTTTGGAATTTTCACTTTCTCACAAAAGAATGATGATGATTTGAGTTCGAATATAAATAGAAATATTTCAATAAAAGAATAGTCACTATAGAAAAGTCAATAAAAATTTATCGCGTCTTTTTCTCGCGAGCCGGCAAGGTGGAAGCTGCCTAAGGTACGCGACTACTGCTTTCAGGGCGTCTCGACTTCGTAGACGCTGTATCTAAAATTATTCTTTCTGCTCTCATGCCTCATCCCGCGTACCATTACTTTGGTTCCGTAGTCGTCAACATTTACGTCGTCATCGACAATGCTGTTGCTTCTCTTTTGACTCTTATCAGCTCTTTGGGTAAGAAGGAATAAAGTGTTCAAGTGGAGCATACACACCAGCTCAAAAAGTCTAAAATGGTTCTAAAGAGGACTTGATTTAGCAATGACAAAACTGTTATTCATAATATTGAGGTTTAGTTGAGTGAAGATAAATAGAAGGTTTCAAATACTTGGAAAGAAATAATGATATTATTTTAATTAGTGTAAGAACAGATTAATTAAGATTGTCATTTCATGGACAATTTAATTTAGGATTAAAATATATTAAATAATAACTTTTAATTGAAGTGTTATTTATTTTTAATTTTTGTATATAAATACATCCATCATAGAAAATTTCATCTTCTTCGATGGACTTAAATTATTTTGATTAACAAATATAAATTTTCCTAGAAAATAATGACAAAATAAATACAGAATGTGAATAAAAATTCACGATAAATACAAATAAAACTCGAAATATTGTTTCTGACATATCACGAAGTAACAAATTTTTATCAAGTTCACTGTAAATCCAAGTGCATTGTTGTTGTTACACATTTAAATGTGTAAATAGTGACTATAATTTTAATCAAATGGATGACATCATATGTAACACATTTAGATGTGTAACAAGAATTTTAATTACTCATTAGAATTTTAATTAATAAATTATTGATTTATAAATTAAAAATTTTTCAATAATAATAATACCATGAGCAATGAATATTATTTACTATATTAATTTTTATTCTAGTAAATAAATTTTATTTAGATTTATATTTAAATAAAAAGCTTGACTCAATTTTAATCTTAAACTTAAAGATACATTTATTTATAAGTCACTGATGTAATAATTAATATAAATATTTTATAAAATATTCAATGTATAATTTTTAATACTTATTGTCAGACATTTTTAATATTAATATAAAAGTTTTCTAAGAGAAAAAAAAGTTTAATTTTGTGGAGGAATTTTTTCCAAAGTCTTTAGAGAAATATTATCTTATTGAAAATTGAATATTAAAATGAGAGTATAATAAGCTTTAAGGACAATTCATAAAGTGTAAGAAGATTTCATGAAGATTGAATAATATTTGAATTAATTCAAAAGTAAAAAACAATGAATAAAAATAGCTTTGCATTTCTAAATAAAAGAAGAAAATAAATATGATAATATATAGAAAAAAAATTATATGAAATTTTTTATTTCTATATTACAACAAAATTTGGCTTAACTTTAGAATTATCAACATTCAAGACCACTTTTAATGTAATCCTTCGGTGACACAAATTGCTATAAATTTTTCAAATTCTTATCGAGATTTCTGATAAAAAAAAAGGTGAGTAATATCCTTCAACTAAAAAGATTCGAGATTCTGAAAGCAATTCCCTTGAATTTGACGTGGATAGAATCAAGCATGCGTATATTTCGATAACATAAAGCTTTTCTGCCAGACAATACGGCGTCCATCCACCCAACGATTCTTTCACAACGCTCAATGGTTGTATAAATAAAAATAGACTATTAGAATCTACTTCTAATTCTAAGTCTGGATTTTTTTTCATTTTCATTTCTATCGTATTCTACTGCCACTTTTCGAATAAACTTATCTTATAATGAAACATTGGTGCAAAAGTGCATGACTGATTCAAAAATAGTAAGAATTTTACATTTCTCATTGAAAAATAAATTTTTTTCTAATCATGAAATTTTTTCTATTCTAATAAACATATTTTTAATATCATTAAATATTTACAATGCAATGAATACACTAATTATAGCATAAATTTTCAGTTCCACAAAATGATAGAATCTTGAATTGATTGTAAAATGGACATCAACCATTATAAATCATTACATTATTTGAAATTAAATTTAATAATTACAAAATATTGCAATATATTATGAAATGATTGTATTTTTTGCTAAATTTTTATTTTTAAGTGTCAAATAAATTCTTTGATTGAGATTGACATTTCTCTGAGTTGATGGGTAAAACTCCATTCTCTACTCAAATTTATTTCCTTTTTATTCTTCTGGTAGAACTATTGTTATACAAATTTCTTGAATATCATTGAATAAATTCTATAAATTGCAAAACACACTCTATAATTTATGACAATTCTACACTGAGAAAAAAATGTACTTCATACAAAAAATATTTCATTCGATTATCAAAATTTCAAATAGTGGCAATGGAATATTTCTTTGAAATTATAAAGATTTGATTAAAATCATTTTATTTACTCAAATGAAAAAAATGTCATTTGTTTTCAAACTTGTAACAATAGTGAAAACTACTGTGAATCAGTGAATATTCAATCAATTCACAGATTGCTAGTGCCAATCCTATCACTGAAAGAATCAGTCATTGGATTGGCACTGGATATCAATGAATATTCACTGATTTGCAATAGTTTTCATTGATTAAGTTTAAGAGAGTATATTTACATATGTATCCCTTTATAAAGACTAACTTTCTAAAAAAGCTACATGTTTACTTGAAGATAAAGGTTGAAAAAAATATATTTTGACAAACTTTTTAAATATTTTTAATACCCGGGTAAAAATTCTAACTGAGTAAACCTAAAAAGACATCAAGATCCCGTAAGTTCATCTCTAGCTCAATTCCTTTATTTAATTTTACTTTTAATTACCATGAAATCTATGATAAAAATTATTCTTTGATCAAGTTCATTCGAGATGTTCAAGATCTAAAAATATATCCCTCTTCACAGCAAACTTTACTTCTCTATCGAATGAAAAACGTACAGCAATTCTTACTAACCTCAAAGAGTAAAACACACCTTCAGCATCCAGTCGTTTTAGTCAGACAGATTGATATTTTATCGACAGTTGATTAAAGTTTATTCTTGCGATTTTCTCTATTTTTTATAATCTTTTTTGAATAATAATGAATAATCTGCCATCATTAATAATATTGTAAAATATGACGAAATCAAAAGTAGTAAAAAAATGAAAATTTAATTCTTTTTAGGTATGATACTAATGTCGTTACCCTCATACGAATAGCATTTTTTTAAAATTGATTTTAAAGTATGCGTACACATGATACTTAATCAATCATAAATCATTCGTGAACTTCGTTTACACCAATGAAAATGTTTGTAAAGCTTATTTTCCAAAAAAAAAACTCCAAAATGAATTTAAGTTGACTGCTGGCGAAGTAGATGTTTCAGGGTAACCAAGGAAACATGCCAGCTGATGTAAAAGAAGCTATCCTAGTAGTTCAATGTAAGTCTGCTAAAGAAAAGTCAGACTTACAGTAGTTTATATCCCTGTAGCTATTAGGGTAGTGACGATCACAAAAAATGCTAAGGAAGTTTACCTCCTTGGTAAAGTTGAATTCAAAACCATCTAAGATAATGCTAAGCTTGCAAACTGACTCACCTACTCCAAGGAATTGAACCAAGACAATTAATACTATAAGATTAAATAAAAAAGTTCAAGATGAGGATAGAGAATTTGAGTAAGTACCTTCCAATAATGTTTTAGTTATATTGAAAGCTCAATTAACACCAGGCCATATCATTTTATACTTCTGTAGATACAATGTATGGATACATATTCGTCCAGTTAAAATTGATTACCAATGTCACAAATTTAGACGTAAGCTTAAACAATGCAAAGGTTAATACGAGATATAAACAATGAAGAGACAATGATAACATCAAAAAGAATTGCAAGAAAGGCTCACCGAAATGTGTAAAGTTTTGAAATCATCATGGAACTACTGATAGAAAATACCCAAAATTGATTGAACTAAGAACTATTCAACCTATGGATGTAAAGAAGGAATCCTTCGATTAATCCTTATTGAGAGAAGCTAAAAATCCTGCTTATCCTGAAGATAAGCTTGATCTTCCTTATTCTAGAGCTGTTTTAACATTTAATATCGTTAAAAAAGTTATCCAAGTGGAGCCGGATTCTGACTCTTACAGAAATCTTAGGAAAAGACTCGAAATTCGTTTGAGCATCAAGCTAGACAGTAATGACTATTCTTCTCCTGACAAAAAAATTCTACCAAATGAATTCAACTAATTACCTGACGATAGTTCTTTGTTAAAATCTAGCCATGAAGATTCATGAATTAGACCTGGTAGAAGACAGGTGTATTATCTAAAAGACTTCATCAATACATTAAAAAATTACTATCACAGGACTTGGATGAAATTAATCAACAACTGTCTATCTATTTTACCAAATAACCTGGTAAGTTTTCTGATTTTCTTTCTTTCAATCAATCTTAAACTTCAGTTCCTTTACTTCTAATTCATGTATATGCGAAGTCAATATCTTTACAATCCTATAATAACCGAAATAATTAAGATCTTACAATGAATTTCAGCTTTAGAAGCAAACTGAATGAATTGGAAAGTACCTGTAGAGTACGAGCTCAATCATGTCTACAGTTATTGACAAAAAAATCGACAAATTTAGTGATTTGACATTGGAATTAATGTGGAATTAAATAATGATTAAGCGAAATAATTATGAAGAATAAGTGATATGTAAAAGATTCGAAAAACCACTATAATTATGCCTGTACCAAGATTACCAAAGAAGAAACGACAATATTGGATTTAAAACATGCTCTGCACAGGGCATTGAAAAAAATGTGACGGTCTGTTTATATTAATAATTGAAACATAAATATTATTTTGCAAGGTTATAAACTTTCACGCAAATCATGACTTGATACTTTATATGTCATAAAAAATAACTAGACATTCCATAAAATGCCTAAGTTATATACATGGCCAGCCAAATATTACTGTATATGTTCCTTCATGTAACGTAGACGATGAAATCATCAGCAAGAATGGTTTCATATTGTAAAACGAACCTGAGACATAATAGTACTGAATAAATAATTACTATTTCAAGACTTCTATACATTTTTAAGAGGAAACACGATTTTGATTTCAATAAATTTGTCAATACAGAAATATATTTGATTTTCGGTTGGTGCATTTCAAAACTAACCTCAGTGAAGTCAATCTTACTCTTTCGACAGCAGTTTATTTCGAGCACAAGTATCGTGAAAGACGGCAACGAATTGACAAAAATCAATGTGATTTGTGGTTATTTTAATACTCTTCATAGATTCAATAGAAAGATTATTCTTCATTTGCATGTTTTATCAAATCCTTGGAAACTTCTTCATCAATCTTCAAATACTATCTTCCAGGATGTCTTTATTTTTCTTTATCCTAAATGTTAAATAATTGATAACTGTTTTCAAATCTTACCGATAATCTGGTGGCACGTCCCAATCAATTGTTCAGTCGTTTGAATTCCCATGAACTTAAAAAATTATTTCCAGTACTTTATGCTTGTACATAAAGGGTATTGCTTATTTGGAGCACGTGATGCTAGGTAATAAATAACACTATTGATTGAATAATAATATCTATATTTTTCACCTTTCTTACTAAAACTTATTCACTTTCATTTTTAGTCTCACTGAATATATTCAAAAATTCTGTTATTAATCATGATGACAAGAGTTTTTTGAGATCAAAAATTTTCAAAGTCGAGGTAGACTATCAATGTTTTCCAGAAAATACTTCAATATTATTTAATAATCATTTTTCTATCACAATACTGATGATCGACCATCTGTTAAAATGAAATTTTTCTTGCATTTAACATGAAAGGTATTCCAAGAGATGAATTCATTCATGACCATATTATGTTCCACTAACATTTTAAGTATTCAATCAAAGTTTCACGATAATGTTTGTAAATAGCATCTTAGATATGCTATTTAATTATTCTAAAACATGAAGAAGTTAAGTTATTTTATATACCGGTAAAAATTCATCGACATATTGATATCAAATGTAAAAGTTAGTGAAAATGATTATGACGATTCTATATATATACACTGATTTCATGATGTTGGCGGTGTTATGGCACAATTTGTACTTTTATTAATCTAAACAACTCATCTTAAAGAGTATTTAAATTATTATCACATTAATCATGTTTAATTGGGTAAAATTTAAAAATTAAAATTAGAAGACGCACTCAAACGTATCTAACAAGTACGATCCATAATCAACGACTGTCGTAAATAAGGGGGAGTGTATGAGTAGAATCTTTTAGCATTGCTATCACTGTGTGTGTCGTCCGTGGGGGCTTATTTTAAAACTGCTGTCCTTCCAACATTTAGTTGCAAGAAAATAAGAGCGAGAGATCACACGGGTGTAATTCTATGCTTGCTACCAGTGTGTTGTATATTGAGTTGACATAGTATCTCTTTGTTTCACGAACAATATTTCCATATTGCTGTTATTAATTTGTGCCTCATTTTTTCGATAATTTTTGTCGTAAAGAAAAGAGCTTGTAGAAAAATATCAAAAGAATTGTGATTATTGATAAATATCCAATCTTCTTTGAACTTCGAGTGAAATTACAATCGTAATCTGTTGAAAAAATATCATGATATCCTGTTGTCCATTTACATAGTTAATCAAGTGCTAAAACTAGCAGTTAGCACACATGCTAAGTTTACCTCTTTTTTACTTTTACACTTACTTTGTCTCGTGCTCCGTCCTCCAATACACTAGGATAATAGATTAATTGAAAATTTTCTTGAATACTTTAGGTCATAAGGTACCCTTCTATATCTAATTGATCATTTTCCATCAAATACTGCAGAAGTCATGTTCTTACGAATGATCTTACTAATAATTTTATTGATGAACATTCAAATATACAATGTAGCAGGTAAAATTGCTATATCAATATTCGTGCTACCGTAAAATCCTCTGTTATAACATCAAGGTCTGAAGCAGATCTATAACACAGAAAAATTATCGGATATCGTTTATAAAGGTTACTCAATGAAAGTAGAATGAAAAGAGAATTTAACAAGTATAAATATGATGCACAGAGCTAAATACAAGAATAAAAGTAGGACCAATATTTTGACTTGGATAATTTTTATATATGATTGTTAATTCATCAGAAACAAAATTGATGGATCTTGAAATATTTACATGAATATTGGTGTTTACCTGAATGAGTTTATATACATTTCAAAAAGTAGTTAATTACCATGTTATAAATAATAATTGTAATTAAAGAAATCTGAGTGTCAATAATGTGTATAAAGCTAATGTAAATTTATGTAGCTTTATGATTATTAATCATCTTGTGCCTTTTATGTGAATGTAATTGAATTTTAAGAATTTTTTCAGCTGTTCCACCAATAGTATCTTGATATTCACTCGTCCATGGAGACACGGAGAATTTTTCTATTATATCACCTGTTTTTTTATCAGTTGACGAATTGGTATTGATAAGTCTGCGATTAATATTTAATTTTTCAATACTATCAGGATATAAGCCATTATTTGCACCATCTGTGATGGTATTTGTCGATTCCTTTGTTCTACTTTCACGAGTATTAATATTACTGGATCTGTTATTGCTATGGTTTTCATCAGTGAATGAAGAATTATCGTTGTGAATTTTCGTCTTTGTTTTCGTGGTTGGATTTGTCATTCTACGATCCTTGAGTAAATATACTTTCTTGCGATTATCAACATGAATGATATTAATATTATGCCGATTTTCATTGTTGTTCATTTCAGGTAGTAATGATTTTTGTCTTTTTCTACCCGGAATATTATGACCATAAAGATAAGGTAATTTAGGTGGAGGACGACATTCAACATCATCATCTAACTTCCTTGTTAAAGTAGATGATTTTTTGGAGCTATCATTTACCATGATTGAATTACCATAAATTATTGAAGGGTGTTTATCTGTAAGAAGTTAGAAAAAATTTTTTAATTTCCATTAAATTTAAAATTTAAACAATTTTCTTTAGCCTTATTATCAATGTTATTGGATTTATTCACTTTATTCAAAGAAATTTGATATGATTAAAAAATCAATTTTTTTACGAGCTGAAATATTTATTCAAAATAATTGAGTATATGCTTATTATTTATAACCGTGAACTTTCTTGCACTATCTAATGTTGATTAATGATGAAGAACTGTCAGCTTCACCATAGATTTTTTTGTAGTCAACGAACAATTTTTATGTGTTGTTTAATTTTCATGCAACACAACACAAGTTCATAATAATATAGCAAGAAATCTGTATAAAATATAACTATATCTTAACCTCGCTGAGATCTCTTGCCATTTAAAAAAAAATCGTATGATCCTAAAAAATCAGCTCTATTAGTGGAATGATTATTCTTATTTTTTAACTGATTAATATTTTAAATGTTTCAAAATCCTTCTACAAGAGTGAAGATTCAAAATTTTTTAAAAATTTAAAACATTTTTCCGCTGCTTAGATTGCTACAGATATTAAAAACTAATTTGATGATAATCTTACGTAATTGACCAAAGTCATGCTGATAAGTCGTTTTCATCCATTCATGACTTATTTTCCTCAGTACCAATGGTAGTAAGAATGATTGAGATGAATTTCGCAGAATACTTGGTACTTTTTCATTATTTATCCTCCTATAGAAGTTCTGAAATAAAACAGTAGTGCAAAATATATTGAAATAATTAGATCAATTTTATTCTACTAAATCATTATTTCTAGTACAAAAATGATTGACCTTGAATAATTTTATTACATCAAACTATACCTGACAACTGCAATTTAAATTTTCCCATAATGAATTAAGATTCATTTTTTTATGCACCCTGATGGTTTCGTCAGAATGCATTTGCAAATAATAACATTACTCAATTTAGACTATCAAAAATAGATAAATCATTTTGAATTTCGAAAAAATCGAATTTATTCTTCTCAATTCATGCTTTGAACTGGAAATAATAAAAAGAGAAATTATTTTGAAGTTTGCGCAACTTCATTGTCAAATAATAGACAGCAGGGGCTTTTACGTGGATGTTTCAAAACAAAGTCTAGAGTGAAGTGTATTCTAACCATATCTCATCATTTGCTCATAATTAATTGACACATCCAATCCAATCATTATATGTACATATTGGTGCAAAGTACAGAGATTATTTAATTATAAGTACTTTGTATATTTTAAATCAGTATACTCATTACTTAAACTACTGCTTACAGTCTTCTAAGAAGTAAAATATTTTGTATCCGATACAGTATTTTTTTTTTATGAAACCATGATTCACTTATTCAAGGTACCTTTTTTATCTGTTGACTGTAACTTTTTTGCCGATTATCTTGGCCCTCTTGATAATCGACTGGGCATTAATTTTTCTGGCCTACGGGTGCTAGAGTTTGCCGGTAGAGGCGCTGCGGCTGCTACTACATTTTCTTTATCTATAGTCTCAAACATCACATTGTTGGAGACGCCATAATGGTAGGTGGGACCTGTTATCGCTTACAATCCAGTCGTGCTATTATTCATCGACGAATTCATTATTAAATAAAGTTACTTATCATTCACAACTTTCAATATTACTTGTAATTTTTTTGAATAAAAATGTTACAAGACGAAATTTGTGATAATTCTGATCTTATAAATAATACACCGCCACCTAAAGTGAGTTAAATATTTTTAAATTGAATAAAAATTGATTTTTTTATTTCAATAAATTTATAATAAAACTTTTAATTTATTTTTAGTTATTTATAGTTTGTTTTATGAATATTCAAAAAAGTATGGATATTTTTTTTTGATTTAGTGACGTCAATTTTCATAATATTTTTCTAGGTTATCCAATCTGACAACGTTGATCTGTCAGATAAATCATTACAAGTAGATATATCAGATGCATTGAGTGAAAAAGACAAAGTTAAATTTACAGTGCATACAAAAACAACATTACCCAAGTTTCAAAAACCAGAGTTTCTTGTTGTTAGACAACATGAGGAATTTGTATGGTTACATGATAGATTCGAGGAAGAAGAAGAATATGCAGGTTATATTGTAAGTATAATTAACAGCGAGTATTTTTCCAGCAAAATACAATGTAATAATTTAATAATATTTATAGATTCCACCATGTCCTCCAAGACCAGATTTTGATGCATCCCGTGAGAAATTACAGAAACTTGGTGAAGGTGAAGGTACTATGACTCGAGAAGAGTTTGCTAAAATGAAACAAGAATTGGAGGCGTAAGTACTAACTAAAAATAATCAGTAATATTTTACAGATTAAATTGAACAATATTATGATAAAATGTAATATTTTCCAGTGAATATTTAGCAACTTTCAAAAAAACTGTTGCAATGCACGAAATGTTTCTAACTCGATTAGCTCATCACCCTGTCTTCCGAAATGATCACAACTTACGAGTATTTCTTGAATATGATCAAGACTTGTGTGTTCGAGGGAAGAATAAAATGGAAATGTTTGGGGGACTAGTTAAATCATTTTCAAAAACTACTGATGAATATTATTTATCAGCCACTGTAAAAGATGTTAATGATTTCTTTGATCAAGAAATGACATTTCTTCAGCAATATCACACTAATCTCAAAGAAGCTACTTCTCGAGCTGATCGTCAGACAATGAAACATAAAGATGTTTCTGATTCCTATATTCGAATCTCTGCTAATCTTCTACAATTAGCTACAACTGACTCTGGAAAACTAGAAAGATTTCTGACTAAGATTTCGGAAACATTTGAAAAAATCCGGGTAAGTTTTATTTATTTATTTCTTTTGGAGTAATATTTTTTTGTGTGAATTATTGAACATTGAAATAATTTTATTTTGTAGAAAGTCGAAGGTAGAGTTGCTTCTGATGAGGATTTAAAACTTTCCGATACATTGAGATATTATATGAGAGATACTGCAGCAGCAAAAAGGCTACTATTTAGAAGATTAAAAGCATTACATGCTTATGAAGCTGCTAATCGTGCACTCGAAAAAGCTCGTGCTCGAAATAAGGACGTTCATGCGGTAAGAAATGCTTTAACATTTTTTCAAGTACTCTATAATAGATGTTGAAAATTCTCAACTCCAAAACTGTATATATAATTCTCCAAATTGGGCTTGCATGTGGTTTCTCACACTGTATTTGTTACGTTGACACTATTACACTATCATATAAAATTGCAACACGCAATTAGACAATATACAGGAAAGTAAGAGAATATGCACATCATAAAAAATAATATAAATAATAATAATGATAATTTTGTAAGTTGATGGACTCATCGTTTCATCTTGATTAATTATTTAATTTTTCCGGCTCGTTCAGGCACTGGAGGTTGCAGAGGTGTGTGTTTTTTCTATAATACTTTTTATTATGATGCAAATTAATTACTCTAAAAAATCAATATTTAAGTAACATGGTTGTTTTTCATCATTAATTAAAATAGTATAGATTGGTATGATTTAAAACTTTTTAAAAATTGCATGCTCCATTTGTAGCGATGAAAATTTCACATCATTTGCATTGGTTAATTAATTTTCTTAAGTTTTTTAAATTTATTTAGTAATTTTGTTTGTCATTAAATAAAAAACATGGAAACAACTTGTGTTTTAATCTAGGCTGAAAAAACTCAAACAGCAGCTTGTGAAAAGTTTGAACAAATGTCTGATAAAGGAAAAGAAGGTCAGTATTATTTAAAACATTCAATAAGTTTTATGAAAAAAATATTAAAGGAAAAGTTTAGTGAAGAAAAGTTGAGTTAATACAACTTTTAAAACAACTTGATGATTCAATAAGAAAGAATGCTTAAAGTTAATCACGAAATTCAAGTAAAATTAAACAATATTAATAAGGTTTCGTTTTAATTTTTTTTTATATTGACAGTTTAGCGTTCACTAAACATTATTCCTTTAAAAGACCGTTTTATAATTTAATATAATACTAAATTTACCTGGTAATCAATAATTATTTATTTCATTATTGATTCAGAGCTAATGGATTTCACAACTCGGCGTATAGGAGCATTCCGAAAAAATTTAATAGATTTAACAGAATTAGAAATTAAACATGCGAAGGTAATAAATATATTGTCATTAATTGAAAAAGTTATTTATAAAATTTTTTTAAGAGAAGAATCAATATTATAATATAAAATATTTTTTTTCTAGACGCATGCTGATCTGCTTAAGAAATGTCTTCATGTTCTTCGAGAAGAATGATTCTCGTGATTATAAACAAAGTATAATATAATCTACAATAATACAATTATTATTACTACGACAACTATTCCTACTATTCTTACTATTACCATAATTACTATGAATAATAATGATAAATTATTAATGGCAATCAAAGTATCATTAATACATGTAGATTGAAGAGATTTTTCTACAAAGCAATGAAATAAAAATTAAATGATGATTATTCATTTTTAAATTGCAATATGCTTTGATAAAAAAAAATCTTATAATCTATTTAAAATATGTAAAAAAATTTTTTATCATAAACTAATTTAAAAAAGAGATAATCTAATTTATAAATAATATATGAAAATATTATTATGAACTACTGTAATTAGATTATAATAATAAAATTAAATAATTAATTTTATTCTGCTCAAAATGAACATTGAAATTTTATCTGACGTGAAAAGTAATCATCTGACGTGAATTTATTTTGAAATATTCTCATGTGTTCAGAATATTTGAAAGAATTCGAAAGTGTATGGAAAAAGAAATGAATACAAAAAAACATATGTCAAGTTAGTTTAGTTACAATAATTAACGTATAAATGTAATCAATATAAAGTTTTTTGCAAAATTATAATAAAATTCTAAATAGATAAAAAGTAAAATAGATAGTGTATACATATAAATGAATATGTTTAATAAATGTTTTCATAAAAATTATCAGCATTATTCATTTAAAATTTATATATAAGAATTCAAAGGAAAAAATGATAATATCTTGAATGAAAGTAATAATGTCAGTGAAATAAAATATTGATTAATTCATAATCCTTCAACATTAATAAATCTAAAATTTTTATCATAAAAAATGTAATTCGACCGAAAGTGTTGGTTTTGAAAATATAAAATCATTATCACTCATATTAATGTTTTTAATCATTACCCATATGCATAATCATTTCAATTAATTAAAAAATAATGACCCTCTTTATCGATATCATTTGTTTCTACAACCTTTTTGGTCATTTGCCACGATTTAATACCGTACTTTGTATACCAATAATATTTATGATAATAATAAATATGGACATAATAATTATTACTCTCAGTTTCGTACATATTTATTGAATTGAATGGCTTGTTCTCTATGATACATGATTGCTGACATATACTGAGAAATTTTTAAATTGTAAGGATCGTTTTAATTCATTAAGAATTATTTTGAAATTCCACCGTAATATATTTATATATATTTCCATTCATCAAAAAAATGTTGCCCGACATCTATATTTGCAATTCTCTATAAATATGTCTCTAGCATTTTTTTGATGATTGTTCATTTTCATTAGCTTACCTTATTTATTAACAGATTCTATGTATATTCTACATATATTATCTAGGCGATAAGGTATATCCATTTTTTTATTATCATTGTATATACACTCGATCGCCTATTGTTGATGTTAATAAATAAATCATTGTGATAATAATCGAATCAAAATACAAATATTATTTTTCAATATTTTTTCTTTTAATTTATATACTGATTGAATTTTAATTAAAAAAATAAAAATTCAATTTATAATAAATTGATATTTTTTACACCCCTAAGCGTCTTTATAAAATAATATATCTTAATTAATTAAATAATTTCTACTGTATTTATGTATTTAAAAGTATCGAATCAACTTTTTTCAATTCCAATTAATAAATTTAATTTTTATGGAATTATTTTCGAATTTTAATATATTATATACAAAATATTGATTTATCTTTTTATTTTCCAAGGACAAGAAGTTTAATCGAAATGTGGATGTAATGATTCCCAATAACAAACTAGGATTCAATTAATATAGCCATATTTATTAATCGTACGATTTCATACTTTCAATAGTTTAATAAATATCACGATTAAAACATAACATGATAATGAGTTTTTTTTTGCTTATTTTTTTGTACAACTGCGATTGCGTCCCCTCAATATAATTTTATAAAATGTCTCTAATCTGACAGCAAAAAATTTCACAGATAAATTATTTCTTTATAATCGATTGTTACAGTAAGATTAAACGTATATTTTTCTACAATTTTTATTTAATTTTGGTTCTCACTTTTTTGTAGTTCTTAAAAATTAAATAATATAATTAAATTAATAACGCTCTTGATCATTAATATATTAAATAAATAGAATTTTCTCTTAGTGTAAATAATGTTTATTATATAGTACTCCATTTCAATATTGATTCTATATTTTTAATATTTCCACTGTTCTATAATTTAATTCATAATAGTCAGTTACAAACGCAATGTTTCAACAACTTTGATATTGTTATAATTATTATAACTCTTCTCTTTATCTTACTTCACTTTTTCATCAACCTTTCATATTAAACAAATTTGTTAGTAAACTTTAAATAAAAATTTGAAGTATCGATAACCACATAAGAGAATTAATTACTGTTACTTCCAAAGTGAATATAGATGTATACAGAGTTGATGAAAGTCGATTCAACACTTTTTCAACAATCACGTAATGAATCACTTATTTTTTAAACACATTGATGATTACTTAATAAAGAATCAGTAATAAAAGTATTAAAATTCTTCTCATTTTTGTGATATATTTAATTAATATCAGTAATATGTTGGTAAATAACCAATTAAATATCTAAGAGATATAATTAATAATAAAAAAAATATATATTTATATATATTCAATTAATTTAAAACTTTTAGAGTGCATAATTTTTTTTTGCTCGGCAGTTACATGTAAAATTGACTCATAATTAGAGCTATGATTAAATGGTCATTTTTGTTCCACTATTTTTCAACCGAGCAATTCATCTGATAATTTAGACATATGAATTTTTTCTCCATGACATGATGAACGTTTAAAACTTTTACATATTTAGAATGTCATATTTGATAATTTTTTAATTATAATATACGTATAATGCCTAATGGTTAATGTTACAATAAGGGTGCGATAATCAATTAATTGACGATATCGATGTTGATCGATTAAATTATCGCTCTTTGTATATATTTATCATTAGAACAGTTTTCACTGTTTTTCATGTATTGCTTTATTATTCTCAGAAATATATAACAGACTTAATAAAAAGACTTGATAAATTTTTTCTTCTGAACAAATTCGTATACCTTCATTATCAATACATCTGGATTGTTTTCTAATTATATTGCATACTGTAGTATGACTTAAAAAATATTCAAAAATGTACAAACATATTCTTAAAATATTTCACATCATGATTATTATGAAGTTGTGTTTAACGAAAGGTCAAAGTGAATGTTATCACATACATCCATTGATGTTTATTATAATTATCTCGCATTTTATATTGTAAATACGTAATTATATTAATTATCGCTTAGGGGTGCTGTGTTGCAGCAAATAAATCATACAAGTTTAACAAATACTCATGACACACATAACGATCGTATAACATATATTCGTCAAAGATTTGCCAATCGCAGCCCTTAAAACATAATTATAATTATTTCAGAGTTAAAAACGGTTTATTTCAATAATCAAATTATTAATGGAAGATGAAAGTATTTACATTAATTTGCGCGTAATCGTCATTAATTAATAATATTTTTATTATTGAATTATTTTTCTTTCAAGAAAACTTTGTTCTTTGTGTCAATTGTTTAATAACATATAATTTTTTTAACTTAGTTCTTATCCTGGGTATCGGATAGGAGAAAAAATGAATCGTTTACATTATCAAGTACCTATGAAACATGACATCTGAATTAATGATAATAATGGACATTTCGGATGAAACGCTTATCGCACTAAAACGGTACTGGCCACAATGACCGCCAGTATCAAATCTCCTAATGTCCTCTCTGCACCGGACGTTTTACGGCGTAGAATTGCTGCCATTTTATCGCCTGCAAAATTCACATGAGCTTTCAATTTATCCGGATATAATACTTATTCTCATAAATCTACATTAAATCGTTGAAAAATAATAACAATTATCGCTTTCGAATATTTCAATTTTTTTATCAGCAAAAATAACAAAGAAGGTAAATATTCTGTGGCCGCAACAGATTGGAAGTCTCCATTTGGAGATCGTGTCTACAGAAAAATAAGTCAATGCAACAATTCCATCAAAGCCAACAGAAATTGAGACTATTTCGGAATCAAACCTCAGATCTGTTGCAGCAATAGAGCTTTTTTTCTACCGAGAAAATCTATGAATTGAATTGGATGAAATATCAGAATTAATTAATAAACATAAACATTGAATTAATGTTACCTTCTGTCACAAAGACATAAATTGATGCAGCTTTCGTATTAGATGCCCTGCATGTGTAATTTCCCGAATCCGATTCAACTGCTTGCTGAATGGTCAGTTGACTTTGAGTTGGTCCAGGTTCAGTTTGTACACTGACGCTACCTCGCGCTGTATCATAATTTATCATACGATTATTATGATACCAAAACACGTATTGAGGCGGCGTCGGGCTCTGAAAATTTTTAAAATATATGATTATTACAGAAATAGCCATTCCACTGGATGGTTTTAGTCACATTTTGTCATAAACATAATTGTTTTTCATTTTTTTCATACTTACTTTTTCTATAATGCAAACAAGACTTATTATAGAACCCACATCTACGTGATGTTCTTCGCCACCTAATATAAATGCTTCTGGTATAACAACATTTAGATTTACGAAATGTGATATTATTCCAGTACTTCTTGACACCTGCAAAAACAAAATATTCGGATCATTACTTTTTATAACATCTTGTTACTGATGATTGCAATTTATAAATCTATTATAACAGTTTTAATTTAATCAAATATTTCTGAAAGTATAAGATCACTAATTGATCCATAAAACTTTGATAGCAAGTATTTATAAGCTTAATTTGACCTTATTTTAAAAATATTTTTAAAAAATTCTTCTTCCTCTATATAATTCCAATAAAAAGATAAAATTTATAAACTATCGACTATATTTTTGAAATAAATAAGTTAAAATTAATTAGTAGGTGAATTAAATTAATAAAACTGAATAAAATTTTATTAATATTTTCAATCATTCGCATTTGAAGAGTGAATAAAATTAAATTAAATTAGCAAAAATATAACAAATAAAAGTCACTGGATTTAATAGTTGTTTTTTTTTCTAATTTAAATTGTGAACATATTATACATATACTAAGTGATATCAGACGTCAACGATAAATATAAAATGGTTTACTTTTGCAATAATTACCTGACATTCATATGTACCATTATCTCTCTCTTGAACATATTTTATTTGTAATGTCCAATCGTCTGAACCTTCTGGATGAAGAGCTTGGAATCGTTCGTCATTTGTGTATGTGAATAAAGAACTCGTCAATACATGCCAGTCTCGACGACGGATCCACGATATCTAAAATACAATGCAACGTTTTTTTTTTTTTTTAGCGCTCATACCTTTGATTGTATTTATTTGAATGCTGGTACAGAATAAATTCGCGTGATTACAGTAACAAAAAGAAGAAAAAAAAAAGATAAAAAGACATTGCAGTATGACAAAAAAAAAAAAAGATAAAAATGTAAAAATAAAAAAAATTGCATCTATAGAATATACCATTAATTCGTACCTCTGCATCAGAGATTGATCGTTCGCCTAAATTACGAACTTTACAATGCAAAAATGCAGTTCCACCTAATTGGACAGTTACATTAGAGACTGTGTTGTTGTCGCTTGCCTCATTGACTCTTTGCAGCTCATCAAGGTTGCTGTACCATAATGCCCTCCAGTCTGGTGGGATGTTATATGGAACTCGACGATCTTTGAATCATGAAAATTTTATCACTTAATGTTGCAAAAATTGAAAAATAAAATTTAATAACTGTGAATTATTGTTTATATAAATTGCATGCTTAAATATATATCAAATGTATACAGATAGAAATTTATATACCTTTATCAAGTGAACGAGCTAATAAAATTGTTGGAAGAATTAAAAACACCATGTACCATGATAGTCGATCCCTCATTTTTATTTGTTCTAAAAATTCAAAATTTCTATTAAATTATTGGCACTCTTGTTCACTGAGTTGTTTATGTTGCGTGAAAAATGATATTTAATAATATTTAAATAAAGAGAATTATTTTTTATTATGCAAGTTGAAAATAAAGCAGTACTTGTGAAACATAATATAGGTATATAACAGCTAAAGTTTTATAGAAAAAAAGTTGTGATATTCTAACTCTAATTAATATGAAAAAAAATTGATATAGTCGTCTTTTGAAATTTTCTTATAAAAATAATAAAAAATTTAATCAAGAATGTATTATAGAAGTTATTTAAATATCCCTTGTTTTCAACTGTGATTAAAAATAAATATGCTTCATTTATATTGCAAAGGAAATTTTAAGTGAATTTGTTTGTCGATTTGACATACTCTACATAAAGACAAATTATTTCAAACTACATATGTATATTCAATTTATGCTCAACTTATTTTCAGACATTCAACTGTGCATTACAACGAATTAATAATAATAAACAACAGGAAATATTGATTATAAAATTATATTATATTCTATTTTCTATTATCTTGAAATCTTGATTTTTGAATCAACAATAGTACTTATTATGCCAATTGGAAATCAACTTCTCCACAGTCATATCAAAAATTTGATAGTCAGATATTGAAAAGCCAACTGACAATTTTAAAATCACTAACAAAAAAAAATGGATATTTATTTCAGTAAAAATAATCTGATTATAACTTTATGTATACCCAAAGTATGATGGCGATAGAATATTGGATAAAGTTCAAAATTCACGCGTCAAGGGATTTAACTGCACCAATTGCCACTTACACACATGCAATAATTATTAAAAGCTCAAATCGACTAGCTAGTAATGGAATCTCAAATGTAGTAAATAATAAAATCCCTATTTTCACTTTATTTTTCATTTCACTTTAAAGTCATTGCAAGTACATGAATAACATTTAACGTGAATTGATCAATAATCGAACAAGCTAAAAATAAATCATTGCTAAATACCCTTCTAACTTCATCTAATTTACAAAGTACAATGTAGTTGATAGTTTTACAAAATAAAGTGTTGATTTTTAAAATTGTTATCTTTTACAACATGTTATAAACTAAACTGACACCTTTAACACTGCATATATATTTTTTTTTATTATCAAGTATTTACTCACGTACCATAAATTGAAATTATACTCCAAATCTCTGTTATATTTTCATAACAATAATATCAGTAATTATTAATGCTTTTAAAAGTATAAAATTATTTTAATATATTGGATAAAATAACATTGTGTATATACAGATGGTAAATAATTGTGATAAAAGTAATTAAAAGAATCAGTTGATAAAACAAAAATAACAATAAAAAAATATCCAATGGTTAAGAGAGCAGATGAGAACAAAAATCGTAATGGATAAACTTTTTTTCCTCTTTCTCTCTCTCTCTCTCTTTCTCTTTCTCTCCATGTATATAAAAAAAATATATATATATATAATATACGCGAATAATCCGATTTAACTCTTACTCGTAAAAAGGGGATGTCCATTTCGTCAGAGCTTACTCAATCATAAATTTTCAAGTAGTATTATCATCCAACTTATTGTTGATATATACGTGTATAATAATAATAATAAAAATTACTTCAACATTAACGATTATAAGGCAAATAATCAAGACATGAAATAAATAAAGAAGTAATGTATAAGGCTGCGTGTGAAAGGTCACAAGTAATATTTATATACATGATAAAAAAAGGGTGCTAAAGTGTTTGTATAAATTGCCAGAATATCCGTGATATAAGGTGTTTAAATTGACAGTGAGTGTGAGAGCAAGTACAGATGCAGGTGAAAAGGGTAGACCAAAATGAGAGAGAGAGAAAGAGGAAGAAGAGAAACAAACTTACCCTTAAGGCGCTAGATGGTATACGTCTAGAAATAAGGTGTTTTGCGTTGATTTTTCACAAATATATGTCTAGTATGTGTACAACTGTACGTAATAATTCCCAAGTAATGTCAACCCTCAAATGAGGGACCCGTACGGGAATACATCCCTTCAGTCAACGTATCAACTCTTGGCGTCTCTAATTACACGTTCAAATGCACACTTGAGGCAAGCAACGCCTGACAACAACCCACTTGACTCCTTATTGCACAATTTTTGACCACTTAAAGTTCGATGAAATTGACATCACTGATACACAATGTCTTATCGTATATCGAACTTTATAAAAAACACTTATTATTATTTTTCTTTAAAAAGATGTCGCACGTTAATATTAATTCCATGACAGTCGCCACCACAGTTTTATTAATATCAAGACAGCTTTGTAAATGAATTTGTTATTGTGTACAGCAAGTCGTCATCAAAGTGATGCACATCAAGTATTGTATCCAGTATTGTTTTAGATAGTAAAACTGCTTCAAGACTTATTGGTTGATTATTTTTAAGGGGTTTAGATATGGTACCAGCCCTATCCAGGAGTCCCTTACCCAGATCACAGACTTTTCTTTTGCTATGGTTCCAACACCCTGCACAGGCGCGAGGAGTTTTAGAATTTCCGTGGGCAGCGCACAACGAGGGATGTCGATCGTTGGTGGGAGTTATTTGAGGGGGTAGGGGATAAAAAGGTCCATGTACAAGAACGATATGTTAGTGGAAGAGGGGTGATATTGGAGGGCAGCGCAGGCGTTTTGGCGCACCAACGCATTGATCCTTGGAATTCGCAGCTGGGTTGTAGTAAAAGAGTGACAAAGAGAACGGTAGACTGCGTTAGAAGAAAGACAGCATCCAACAGCAGCGTTTCAACAACTACGAATTCTTTAGTAGAGTTTATTCGAGTAGAGCTTGCCTCATTCGACATTTATTTAAGACTTGGTTTCAGCAGCCAAGTTATACACATCTGATACATACATAACCAAGTCTTGTCAGCGAGCTTGTTATTTTTATGACTATGCATTGAATTCAAATTCGATTACTTCATCTGGAAAAAAATTGTTATTTCATCAATGAAATAATTAACGTCTAATAATTGTTACCTGTGTTTAATTAATAGTTCAAAAATTTTGGTATTAATTAATTCCACGGATTTGCAGTAATACATTAATGCTGAAATTCTTATTATATTCGAAATGAATGAATAATTCATCTGTCTTTCTTGACTATTCAATTAAGAATATTTAATAAATTGTTGGATATTTATTATTTATAAAGTATACTTGAGAGTTCAAATGCTAGAGTTGAAGAACCTCACAGGTCATTTTACTTGAAGCTTTTGAATGAAATGCTCAGTCGGTAATCATTTGATCTACTCAAATGGTGAGTCGGTAAATACCGCGCCAATATTAACATCTGAAAATAATTATTGAAAAATATTCTGTACAATATGAGTTGGACCTTCTACATGACGTATTTTATGGAATCCAATTATGTTGGTATTGACTTGGTTACTTGAGAAGATTATGATGGTATAACTGGACATTAGTAGATGGCCATATTTTTTGCTCAATTCGTTTGGTTCGTGTAGCTCATTGTAAAATTAGGTTGAGTTGACACAAGTATTAGAAAAAAATGTTGTCAAGATTGGCCGTACGAAATGGTAAGAATAATTTCTAAATAACATTAATAGCTTATTTAAAATATGTGACAAATTTATGTTCCTTTAAACATTCATTAGATTATTACTTTCATGACAGAGATAAAATTTTTGGAGTGAATTTTTTCGGTATATTATGTAATAATAATAGAAAATAAATTAATAATTATTTATTATTTATTTTAGTGGCCAGCTGTTGGCCTGCATTGACACGAACATCAAGTAGTGTACCTCAAAAAATAGAAACAGCATCTGTAACAGCCACCGGACAGCGAAAATCGCAACCAATTTATCCATCTCCAGTACGACATGGATTTATTCCAGAAGAATGGTTTCAAATTTTTTACAACAAAACTGGAGTTACTGGTAAGCACAATACCTTGATAATCAAATATACAGAATGAAAAGATTGAATCAATTTTGTTATTATTAAATTAACATTGTTTTTATGGAAATTTCAGGACCATACATGTTCTTCATTGGTCTGTCAACTTTCCTACTTTCGAAAGAATTCTATGTATTAGATCATGAATTTTATACCGGTGTAGGAGTACTTGCGACAAGTATATTAGTTGTCAAAACAGTTGGACCTGTTGCGACTAAATTTTTCGATCAAGAAATGGAAAAAGAAGATCAACAATTAGAAGAATCTCGTAATGCCGAAAAACAAGCTTATGAGAACCAACAAGCTGCCTTAAAGAGAGAGCAATGGAGAACAGAAGCCCAAAAAATGATCATAGATGCTAAGAAAGAAAATATTAAAATTCAACTTGAAGCTTGCTACCGAGAACGCGCGTTCAATGCTTATAATGAGGTTCATCTTAATGATAATTTATTATTCCATAATAATTACACGATAATCATTTTTACAATTTAATAGAAAAATAATTAAACATGATTAATGTTTTTATTTCAGGTGAAAAAACGTTTAGATTATCAACTTCAACTTGCTGGAGTTCATCGTAGAATAGCGCAGAAACACATGGCTCAATGGATAATAAAAAATGTTCTTAAATCAATTACTGCAGAACAAGAGAAGGCTGCTTTGCAACAATGTCTCGCTGATCTTCAAGCACTTGCACCTAAATAAAAAGTAATGATAAAAAATTAAGAAGAGTAAAGAACTGTAATAAAAGATATGATAGAAAAAGTATATAGCTTTTGAATTTATGTAATGATATGCCAATTAATTATCATGGGATATGATGATGTTCCATTAATTATTAATATTGTTAGAATTATACTAACACTGCTGTTGATGATGAATATTACTATTAAATAATAATAAATCTTATCACATGTAAGCAGTGATTGTAACAAAATAATAAAATCTAATGATCTATATATCTAAAGAGGGCACTAGTTGTCTTAACCATTTATATTTTCTGGTGTTACATAAATTTCTTAGATATATATACAACACTTGAGTTCATGTAAAGATATTTGTTTACAAACATAAAGAGTTGAAAATTGGACTGAATACAAGAATATGGAAGAAGAGCTTCAATTTTGTGAAAAAGTTCCAAAAATTGTATGTAATTATTTCTCTTTATTATCATGGATGGCTTTTAAATCTACTCCAAAAATTTTTGTAACAAATCGTAATAGAAATTGTGTTATTCAAAAATGTATTTTAACTTGTCAGTATTATTAAAACATATCATTAATACCTTTAGGAACTTCATGCTCACTTGAATGGTTCCATTTCTCTTGAAAAATTAAAATTACTGAATGACAATGATGTACCTACTTTGCCTCAATACGAAATTACATCATCAACTCCTTTAAAACAGTATGTAACAAAATTTTACAAATTATACAATTTTCTCTTTCAACTTAATCTTATTTAGAAGATTTAATTTTTTTCAGATGCTTTGAAGTATTTAAAATAGCTCATACAATAGTTAATAACCCTCTGAAGGTATATGAAGCAACACTTAGTGTTATTGAAGATTTTTATAAAGATAATGTTATTTACCTAGAATTGAGAAGCACACCACGGATGATTCCTGATATTATGACCAAGGATGTATATATTGAATCCGTAATTAAAGCTATACAGTAAGTATGAATATGTCACTTACAATTGATACAATTGATTAAAATATTCATACAAATTAATATTCAGGACTGCTTCTCTTACATTTCCCAAAATATTAGTCAAGTTTCTGATCTCTGTCAATCGAGCACATGGTATTGAAAATGCTACAGAAAATATACTGTCGGCAATAAAATATCATGAAATGTATCCTGAGTATGTAGTTGGACTAGATTTAAGTGGAGATCCATCAGAAGGAGAAGCTTTTTTACATTTATTGGAACGAGCTCGAAATGCTGGATTGAAAATAGCAGCACATTGTGCTGAGGTAAATATAATAAGCCTTTTATGTCGAATGAATTCAATTAAAATAAGTTATACATTAATTGTTATAGGTTCCTAATAATGACGAAGTTGAAGATATTTTAAATTTTAAACCGGACAGATTAGGCCATTGTACACACATTCATCCTGATTTAAATGGATCAAATGAGCTTTTTGAACAGCTTCTTACATCAAAAATTCCAATCGGTAATTAATTTAAAAAGAAAACAAATCTATCTATTGGTAAGGGTTTTGGAAGTATTTTAATAATAATATTGCAATTTTTTTTACAGAACTATGTATAACATCGAATATTAAATGTCAAACTGTGTCAGACTACTCGAAACATCAATTTAATTATTTCTACAAAGCTAATCATCCGATATGTATTGCAGTAAGTAAATTCTTTTATTTGCTTTATTATAATATCAACTAAATATATAAACTAAGAAAAAAATTTACTTTTCTAGACTGATGACAAGAGTGTCTTCAATACAACTTTGTCGAAAGAATTTCAAATTATTAAAACACATTTCAAACTTTCATCAAAAGAGTTAATTAAATTATCTCTAGCTGCTGTTGATTATTCATTTGCTACTAATAATGAGAAGGAAAAATTAAGACAAATAATTAAAAATTTTACCTACCTTGAATAATGAAAATATTCAAAAATAAGTATAAGAAATATTTTGTACTTTTATATTGAGGATTAAATATAAAAGTAATTTTTTGTACTTTGAGATTTTCGTATAAAATAAATATTTTTTTCCCAACAGAATTTGATGTAAATTACTGTAGCATTTATTGATAATTTCGGAACGTTTACATTGGCTTACAGAATAAAATGAAGTGTTTACTTAAAAAAAAGTTTTACATCATACGTTTTAGTGTCATTTAAATTCTAAATTGATTACAGTTTTATAACGTAAAAGCTATATGTACACAACATTTATTTTCTTGATCATTTTCTAGTTAGTATAATGCATTGACCATTTTATTCGTGATTTATGAATAAGAATTTACGTTTTTATTTAACTAAAAGATTAGATATGAGATACGTTCAAACTGACACCATAATATACAAATAAGTGATCTACTTCATAAAACAATAACAAAATTTATTCCATGTAATTCATTGATGTAATTATGTTAATTATTATTGTTATTACTACTATTATTATTATAATGATTACTATTAATATTATTTGTCATAATGATCTGTTTATTCTTCACATTGTATCTCTCAGCAAACCGATCGTCTCAAATACACATTTGTGTAATTAACTCACGGTATTTTTAACTGAAATGAGAAAAATAAAATAAATCAATCTATTTTAAGAAGTAAATAATAATAATAATAATAATAATAATAATAGCAATAATAATCATTTTGTCGTAACATGATAATCAATTCACTCCAATTATCACACACGCAATATTCTACAATTGATGAGATATTTAAAAAAATTTTCATTACTTAACATGAATTCATTATTATTCATTTAAATTAAATAATTATTAAAACTAATGAAATTTACAAATGATGAATTACAAAATGAGATTCAATACATGAATTTACAATTAATTATTTATTTATTTTTTTGTTAAAAATCAATTTAAAAAAATGAGAAATAATAAAGAGATTTTCAGCTTTTATGAATAGTTCGGTTTTTACGATCTATAGCAGAACAATTGAACATTATGAACAATTGTGTTTATAATACTTTTCTTAAAAAAAAAGTATTCATCATTATTACTACAATTGATGTTATAATTATTAATATTATTATACAAACAAGGTCTAATACCTTGATTGAAATTTTTCTACAATTCATCAAATATTATTTATATTATCGTTATTGTTATCATTAGTATTATTGTTGTGATATCATTATAATTGCCATTAATTATTTTCTTACATAACAGTCTTTTTGGCTAGTGTTTATACTACAAGCATTTTCTTTTTTAAAAATATTAACCAAACAGATAGTTTTACAATAACAAAAAATAAAATTCCTTTCCGACCTTCACATTGCTTTATATTTTTCAGATGATCATTTTCATTGGAAAATCATCTTCATCGGTAAATTTTATTTTGTCTACAAAAACAAATTTACTATTAACAATTAAATGTCAGTTTTTTATTTACCAATATAAAAAATTATCTAGCTCAATAAAATCTCGTCTCGATATGACATAAATCATGAATATGTTCTTTATAAAACTTTTTAAAAAAACCGAATCTATTCTAATTTTATTGATAACATTTCTCTGACTTAATTTTAATTTTATTATTGTTACTATTATTATTATCATTCAGTATTATGATTATATAATGATCATTAATACGTACAAATTCAATTACTAGTTTATTACAGTCATGAATTATTCGAAACAATCAATGCCTCTATAATAATAATTTTATATTAAATTGAATATTAACAATTTATAAGTTCTAATTGGAGACTATAAATTATTATAAGAAATTAATTTAGAACTTTACTCCTGTAATGGCAAAAATAATTAATATTTTCAATACTGTTCATCATCATTCTTTGACTCTTTCTATCTCCTAATCAAAAATCATTTGCATAAAATATAAAAGTGCAAAAATGATGGAATAATTCATTTGTAAATTTACAGTTGCTTAACAGCCACTTTATTAAAAAATGTTTAATCATTAATAAGTCCATGACTATATAAACATTTTGTTTATTTAAATACAAAATGTTGTGAAACTCTCATAATCAAAGAAAGTATTTTCGCATGTAATTATTAATAAATTAATTCACGGATTATTCCATCGTTTAAAAGTATTGCTTTTACATTGTAATAAAAGAGATATTTGATGAAAAGTATTGAAAATATTTATATCGCATAATAACTATGTAAAAATTTTAAATATACAATTTTATGCTTTTGTAGCATACATTAAACATTTTATTATCTATTCAATGTCAATGAATTTCAAATAGCAATGTCTATTATTAAAAAGATAATGAATAATATTAATAATAATAATAATAATAATGACAATAATAATAACAATAGGAAATCGTTAATGACTAAATAGACTAATCACTATTATGCATAAGAAAAAAATACAGATAATTATTTTAGAAAAAAATATTTAAGCGTATATTTTCTAAATTTCAGGTTTTATGCATCAATTTTTGTTTATTGAGAAACTAAACTTCGCTGTGTTTTTGTATTATTGTTGTTGTTTGTTGGATTAGCTGTTCTACCTTCACTTTGCGCAAATAAAACACCCTCATACATAATTCCATTAATTTCCATGCTAACAACTAAAGAATTGTCACCATTACGACCGTCACCACGATTTGAGATCTTGATATGAGTGCCACCACTAACGGTGGGCATATTATTTTTTTCTAAAAGCCCCTCATCATCGGAGAAGGATCTTTTGAAATTTTGTAGTCCAGGTGTACCAGTCAGATCATGATCTCTCTTAACTTGAATACTCCCACTAGAAGATGGAGGACTGTGTCTTACAGGAGATGATGATACTGACGAGGATCTACGTCCTAAATCTAATGCTTCACTTTGTGGTTCTGGACTTGATGTTTGAGGATGTGGTGAATGAGCTTGAGGTGATAGTGGTGGTTGTTGTCCTACGCCGGGATATAATGTATTATTATTATACATATTCCACAACGTTAATCGTGACATTTCTAATGCATTTAAAGCACTATCACGTGGCGGCGTTTCGGATGGTGATGTTACACTCCCTTGTCGGTGTATCATTGGTGGAGGCGTTCCTGCACCTGCATTTCTTAGTTCTTTGTTGAGAAGTTTTACATATTCCACCATTCTTGCTTCAAATTCAGCTGGTGCTAAACCTGGAATCAGCCCTACAATAAATTAATATTATTGATCAATAAAAGAGAATTATTTTAAAGTTAATCAACTAACGTGTTCAGTGTTGATGCTTGTTAAAAGAATAAAGAAGAAAAACACGAGTATTTGTTTGTGTAAAAAAATAAGAAAAAAATTAATAAACTAACACTACAAAACTAATATAGATGAAACTGTTAAAATTAGTGATTTCATGTCCTGGTAATAAGATTCATGATTACAAAACTCATTAAGAAGGTTCGTGGACAAGGTGATGTAGCAACAAACGAGAATTGGGATCACGTTCAAGGGTGAAAATGTAACATCCTATAAGAGATGAATAAGATAGACAACGGGTGCAAATAGTGTAGCGTCAAAAGACGAAGATAGGGAACTTTAGGAATGCTCGTTAGTGAGAGTCATCCGTTAACGCCTGCCTCTCGGCGGATTGTACAATCAATTACGCCTCTTCGCTCGCATCATCATCTCAGGGGAGGCCGAAAGTCTCTAAATACCGATTTAAAATAAACTTTCCTGCGTCTTCCTTTATTCTTTTACCATACAAGTCAACACAGATAAATTCAATAAATGAAAAAAAAAAAAAAGTATCAGATAGAAAAAAAATATTTCTGTAGTTGATTTGTTTAGATTAGTATATAAAGTTAATTTACCAGTGGATGGCTGTCCTTGTGGATGTTGAGGATGATGAGGATGATGTGGTAAAGGAGTATGTGCTGCACTTCCATTTGCTAATGCTTGGTGCTGTCCACCTACCCCCGTGACCAGAGATAATGGAGACATTTGAGCATGTAAAGATAGTGGATTAGGTGTGTGAGGACTTCTTTGAATCATACTGTCACCACCACCGCCCCCATATGCTCCATAACTGCTTCTACGTCCTTCTCTTCGATTTCCATCAATTGCTGCTTGGAGTTCAGCTGGAGTAGACAGTCGACGTTTCTCACATTCATATGGATATAAATACTTCATGTATCTTAACAAAAAAAAAAAAAATAATTATTATTAATTTGTGCTCCAAAATTCTCTCATACAGCATGATATTGTATGATAGAAGTGTAAAACTAATACAAGCTTATTTCATGAAAATTTTTTATAAACATAAAAAAAATGTATAATCAATTAAATTTATATGTTTAGTTTTATTGAAGTTCTTGGTAGGTAATGTTTGTATAAATTGAATGAGAAATTAACGAGTCTTCCTCAAGTTCTCTTGATGTTACCAGAAGCTAAAGTTGAGTTAAATGTTTGATATTATGTTCTTCTTCCCTCGGTTCTTTTGTAGTTCGCGGTGAAATATTTATTTTTGTTTCCTTCAAACGTCAGAACAGCTTGTGATATGGAGCCGCCATTTTAAACTTACCCACCAATTTTTTTTTCTACATCTCAATAATGATGATAACATCATCTAAACATTTTTTAAGTTTCTACTCGTAGATAAGTAATAAATAATTTTTCATTTATCATTAGACACTGTACCATATGTGTACATCAAGAAGAATCCTCTTTTATAAAACAAATATACTATAATGTTTATTAATTTTGGGAGATACGAATTAATGCTTTTGACAGAAATGAAGAAGAAAATGATGTCACAGTAAGGGAGTGAGATAGAGAAAGCAATGTATTAACTAGCACGAGGTCTAATATAAAATCCAAGTAAGCAATGCGACGCATGTTTCTTATATGAAAATAACTCAGCAACTCGGTCTTTATGTGACGTCCGACATTCTGTCAAGACGGTGGTACATTCATCATTCAAGCAATGAGACATATAATACATTAGATTGTGGAAATACTGGCATTCATTTCATTTTATCATTAATTATTTTCAACAACAATTAATACTACAAAAAAAATAACACATTCATTGAATACTTACTGTGTACGTAATGTGAATGCAGCAGAGGTAATGCTAGATGGCAAATGAAGTCCTTTGATGATTTCTTGCCACAGTTTCTTGTTAATAACGTCAACTAATCCACCTCGAGCAATCACTAAATTGTAAAGTTCATAAAGATCTAGAACTGACTTTGCCATTATTGGTAATCGATTGATTGGTGTGCCTGCAAATAAAAAAAGCAACAAATCATCATTAGAAGTATGTCTGAAGAAGATGAAACATTGTAAAAATTAGCAGATAAAATTTTAAATAAATTTATATTTTCTTGGATTGTTTTATCGATATGTAGTCATAAATAATATAAAAATGAATAAAAAATATATGAACAAGTTGGCTAAGACTTTGAAGAACCATCAGTGTTATTAACAAGAGTCATAACAAAATCGCGACTATCACGCAAGCAATGTATTACAGTTTTATGAGGTTGTGCTAAGGTACAGCAACGATATTGAGAACACACAATGAGATGGTATGGTGCATGAGTGTTGGGTATACAACTATTAAGTAGACAGACTCAGAATATACTGCAACCCTCTTGCTGGTACGTTGGCGAATCGCGAATCAAGTTGGATATGTAGCTGAGTCTTAACAGTAAGCTTGCGTTGTATAAGGATGTATTACCATCAGGATCAGCGGTATGGAGGATGAAGGGCGCTGCCGCCATTCCTGCCAGAGTAATAACACTATAGTTGTGGAAGGGGAACCAGCAATTTCGGGCTATCGAGACTTTACCCCTCTGGCTTTATTATTGGCCCTGCAATTATTGTTGATATACGTGGCCCAGCAACCATCAGTTTAATGCTCCCACATAGGACGCAACAATAAAATCCTGCAAGAAGGCAAAATGGCGGCACCGCAGTAATTTGTTTTGTATGCTTTTCTTTACAACAATAAAAATACCTTATGTTTTTTGGCACGTTTTACAATGTGAGAATAAAAATAGGCCAATTATTTGTCTGGTCAATAGCATCATTTATGTCTCATGGAAACTACTTTGTAATTTTTGTATTTCAATAAATACTCTTCATTTTTTTTCAAACTTTCTTTTACATATTATCGTTGTGTGTTCTTATCTATTGCATAATTCAACGCAAAGAGAATATTATCGCTATCACAATGTAATGATTTTATGAGCTGATAACTTGTAGATACTTCTGGGAATATTTTCTGATTTAAAAAATTAAATAAATAAATAAAATAGAGATTTTGAGAAAAATTACATTTTAAAAAAAGATGATATATGAAACAGAGAAATTTATAGAATAAAATTTGACAAATGTTACAAAGACTACAAATCATTGAATGATGAGAAAACCAAAGTGAGAAAGACCGTATCCTTAGCTTACTTATTTGGTGGTGATTCTGTACTCAACATGCCGCCAAGTCGTCAATATAATAGCCGTAGCTGTTGTGAAGCTTTTATGGCGAATACACGCGAGAAGCGTGATTCGAATGCCGGTGGTGGAGTGTATGCTGACTACAGTTGAGAACAAGTTTTACGAACTGCTGACTTTGGTGTATATTATAAGTAATGGAACGAAGGGAATAATAAATATTCGTATTATTTTTATGGACTTCTATTGTTAATAACATAAGTAGATATGCAACTTAACTATTTGCATTCAATAACAATCCAACACCTTTGTTGCTTTTCAAAACTTACTGAAGTGAATAAAAAGGAATATGATGAACTTGAATCATTGATGATCCAGGTTCCAGGTCTTGATTAGCAACGTTAATAGAAAAATTAGCTAAAGTTCTTCAACATCAAGGTGTGAGTCATCTTATTGTGTACCAAGATGATGGTATAGACATCAAAGTATAAGCAAAAGTTAAAGAGTTAAAGTGAGAAGGAGAAAACTGCAGAAACATTCAGGATGCGATTACGACTTTTCTTGGTAAGGCGTCCAATCAGCAGTTATTTTTATAATGACACTACACTGTACAGTCCCACTGCAAATAAATTATGTGAGGGTTGTATGCGCCATATTTGTTTTATTTTTTTCTTGCTATCTGAATCTTAGACTCGTAATAACCGCAAGTACACACATAAGTCTCTAATTGTTGGTCAATTTGCTGTTGAAATAACTGTTGGAGGATAAATAATTTTTTTAGGGTAAATAAATAAAGATGATAATATGATAAGTGTTAAGATGATAGACTTGATGATAATGATGATATTGGGTTTATACTCGATAGATTTCAGGGTCGTCGTCACGCGAGTGATTCTCAGAAAAGTCGTTTTGCACTCCCCAAAGTCTCGGTTCAACGCAGTTGTATATACGTGGGTTAATAAAGGCCTCTCAGCTTCTCTACTCAAGCCGATCGTTATTAGATTGGACACTCCTCTCTCCCGCATTGCCCATCACAATAACCCATAAAATGCAACATTTTGTTTCGTATACCAATTACCATTGACCACCTTGCCTCGCCTTCTTCAAAAAGTAACTCTGCTATAACGTACTAAAGTTCATCCTTTTATAACCAATATTTTATATCAATATTGATCAACTTTTAATTACATTATTATGTTTTATGGACACCTAACGGTTCTTTTTGTTGGAAAATATTTTGTTAGAAATAAATATTTAGCACTAGAATGATGGAGATTAGATATTTATAAAATAAAATGTGGAATCATGAAGAAAGAAATAATAGAATGAAGTCAACTAAGCTGAGTAATTACTTGATATTGATTTATCATGAATAATATTCATTTATGATAAATATATTAGTGCTAAAATAGACTCAAAGTCACATATAAGTTGTACTTTATTGCTTATCTACATATAGTTGATATTATTATCAATATTTTTTTCACTCATATTTTAAAAGCAATTCTGAGAATAAATATCTTAGCTAATTTATGCTCCACACAACTCAATATAATTCTATTTGATTTTAAATGGATTGGAAAAAAGAAAAATAGTTAATAAATGAACAAGAGCTAATCTATGTTATAAGATTAAAAGTCTGTAGACGTCAGGCTGAATAAGTGATGATTCGTATTTATTTTCAAGCCGTCAGAAAGATTTGCTACTTATTTCAGTGTGGAGAAAGAGAGAAAATGAAATCAGGAAGAATAAGAAAGATAAAAATGCAGAGAAATATATGACGATTGGGTTGGAGATGATGATGACGACTTGGTGTCTTTCAGGTTAACTTTGTTAGTGGCGCGGTATTATCAGCAAAGTAAAAGATGTGAAATTGGCATTGCGAGAATGGCCCCGACGAGAGGGTGGAGTCTCATATGAAATACACACGACATTTACAGCCTTACCGGCTAGCCCACAAGAGACGCAAACGTGTATTATAAATAGATCTACCCTCGGTCGATTTCTTTGAGGGCACGAGAGAGGTATTAAGATACTAAAATGTAGGGGCAAAGGGGGTTGTCTATGTGTTCGAGAGATAAACACAGTAGTGAGAGTGCTACAATCTCGTTTATAATCTTGTTAGGATTTCGCGGAAATATTGGTATAATTTATGGTGCGTCGCAAGTTAACTGCTGTCAGTTGCAATTCGTTCAGGGGAATCAAGAAAAAGCCAGACTAGACAAAGGACATGTGAATACAATAATATATCATTGTATTTCACATCTCAATGACTATCCTACTTTTTTGCTTAAAAATGCTTTTCAACAAGTCATTAGTGTCAATTAGAGATATTTGATCTAGACAAAAATCTGAGTTAAATAAATAACTTGATTACTATATACTCAAGGATCCTGTCAACACCTGACGCCACTTTTTCCTACTCCCTTATTATGTTGGAAACATATAACCACCCTAATTCAGACATATATAGAATAATGTACTGCTGTAGGGGGATATTACATGGTCTTATATTTATTTTTACCCTCTCCAGTAACACTTGTTGCTTCATTTAATATCCTTTTATTTGATGTTATAAAAATGAGAGATGAATTATTAGTACTTGGTGAATCACTGTACAGAATTATTTCAATTATAAATAAATGACATATCCAGGAAGAATAAAAAGTTGTTGGAATTATTTCAATATTCTTCATTGACATAGTTCAACTCTATTTTGAGACATATAGTCGTACAGTGAAATTACTCGGCAAACTGCTCAAGCACTTGCCAACAATGTGACGATGCTTTGATGTGACGTAAACTGACAGCCGAATATATTATTCATACAACTTTATTTTCTAATAATATTATTAGAACTTAAAAAATCAGCTCTGATAATTTAATGTAGCTTTCAAAATCAATTACACCCAACAAAAATTCTTGGATTCAAGATGTTGTTGATGAGAAAAAATAGTCAACATGATTCTTAGTTAAGAGATGACTTGTTCAATCCAAAGAAAAAAATGGAGTTAATGAAGTGAACATAAAATTGATGGAAGAATAGTGAATTTTTAAATATGTGTCAGGTCAATTCTTCACTCAACAACCTAATTTATGGCGTATGAATATTGTGGTTGAACAACAATATACGTCACATTGACAATATGTCATCACTTGCTAGACCTAAGACAAGGGATATTCTTGAAGGATTTCTTGACAAGTCTAGAGCTGGTAGTTCTTTCCTAGCATTGATGCAGTGCACATCGTAGTTAACTAACTATCTATGATCATTGATTCGTGTTATTCTTTGCTAAAAATGAATGTTCCAAGTCTTCATCAATATGTGAGAGAAATAGATTTTAATAAACTCAAGATAATTCCTCCAATGTGTGAAATATTTTTCAATCACCAAGAAGTGGAATTGAATTTATATATATATACAAAGTGAGTGTGTGATAAATTGAGTGAACCACGTGGCGTGTCTCACAGCAGGAAGAATGTGCCATAGTCAGTACAAAGTCGTTGAGTGTGTTCGAGAATGAAGTTGGAAAGGATCCATGAATGGGCGTCCTCGTGGCACGAGTCACGCGGGACACTCCTCTATTAGAGTGTATAGTGTAAGCCTGATGCTCGGGACTTTTCAACCAAGTCATCCAAGTGAGAAAACTACCTGTGTAATAGCGGCACATGTGTCGTTCACTAAACTATCTGCTCCTCTCAGAATAGCTTTTGAATGGGGACATATTTACTGTCATTTTCGACAAATATGAATTTCTAAATGTCTACCAGTGCTATTTTTTATCAGGAAAATTTTATCTTTTCATCTTCTGACAGAATAACTGCAAGAAAAAAAGATAGTGAATGAAATAATAGCTAAAGACAGGTGATTAATCAAGATAAATGAATGTATTTGAAGTAGAAATTTCAAATTTTATCGAATGAATTGGAGAAAAACAAGAATTCGACAATTACGTCATTGATGAATAATGAATGATAGAATGTAAGGGTAGTCGTAAAGCCAAAAGCGTCAAGTTGTCTAGCAGAATGTGCAAACGTCATTGAGTTAAATACCTTTCTTTCACAGCTACTAAGCATCTTGTCAGTACAGTTACGTATGTAAATTTCTCAACAACAAATTCTAACTGTCATTGTTTTTGTCATTATTTTGCATACTAAAACCGAATAATATCCAATAAATTATTTAATGTTTCCTGAATGCCATCAAAGTTAGCTATGGATTTAGCATAATTGCTTGATAGCAGAATATTAAAAGAATCCTGCTTCAAACTTCTCCAAGAATTAATAGAAAATGAAGAATGATGTCAACAGACTACATCAGCTTCTTCAGAGTCTGTAGTATCTCTGTCTTTTTTTTATTATTTCCTACAGACATAGAGGGTGGTTCGAAAACGATTCTCCAATAGCATATCCGTAATCCTGACATAATCCAGGTTTAAGGCCCACGAGAAGTCAGCGGGTGGGCTTAGAATCATACCGATTGAGGATTCATGTCGTCATCTCCATCCTTGTCTTTAAAATTTAGTCCCTTATAAGAATATTCCTCTTTTAACCTTCCTTTTTACTTTATTTCCGATCCAGCATCCTTTTTCTACATTATAGATACTCAGAGTCTACATAACTATATCCTTTTTGAATAATTCACTTTCCCTGCTTCCAAGAATCGACCCCAAGGTTTACGATCGATCCGTCAAAGACATCCGTCACGTACAATGACTCCATGACGAAAATCCTCCCATCGAAGTTGCTGTTTCTTTCTCGTTCTTCTCACGGCGTCGGTGTTGTGATGACCATCAAGGACTTACTTTATGGAGCTATCCAACATTTACGAGTGGAATAACACTTGGAATCGAGAGACCCGAATTATCCTTTAATATTTTATGTATTTGTCTCGGTGAAAACCATTTTATCCCATTTCTTGTCTTAAATTAATGACTTCAAAATCATTAATTATAATATTGAAAGGAAAAAAGTTTGAGTAAATTATGCGATAATGATAATGTGTAATTATAATCTTTGAGTGTTAATATTCATACGATTGATTTAAATAACTCTTTTACATTTCTTATTGACGTGTATCAAACTAGAGCGTATATAAATGACGAAACTATTTTCGCAAGCGAGTGTTACTTGGTTGATAGTTATATATATTATTGCGAAATAAAGTCAACCTCGGAACTACTAGTGGCGATATCCCATGTCCGTAGTTGTTAGTTAAGGTACGATTCATTACTAACTAAACTGTACGTGCTTCCAGAACAAAATAATATCAAGTAAAAAATACCAAAAGCTTTTGTAAATCACGTCGTGACTTTTGTTGTTTCATTCAGATCATATTCTCATTGTTGCTATAAGAATAATAACCATTTTTAAAACATCAATGAGTAAGTTTCATTTACTTTCAATGTTTATTTAATCTTCTTGAATTACTTTTATTTCTTTCTCTTCTTTTTTTAAGTCAATAACAATGAAAAATATTCATGTTAATTATGTCTTATTGATTAACAAAAAATTTAATAATCGATCTTGAATAAATAATACAAGGAAATTATAGACAGGATGCAATTAAGGTAATTATATCTCTCCCAAGTGTGTGACGAAAAAAGTACGGGCTGAACACGTGCATATTTAATGCAAAAGTGATGTTGAATATAACGGAAAAAATTATTGTCACTAAATGAAAACAACAGAAGGAATTTATCCATTCAGTTGGTTGATCTTTTTAACTTTCCATTAGGAAGTTACTTTATAATGGGGTCGATTTTTAAAATTCGTTATTCTATCGTAAGTGTTTACGACGTAATTAATATTTTTAATTGTTCATTTACTGAAACGTAACTTTCATACATTCATTATTTGTGTATATATTTATATATTAAAATTTTATTTGTTTATATAACCCAATTTCGTCGTTTTATGTACTGGACTGTCATTGTATCATCTGAACCTATTCATCTTCAGATAAGATAATATTTTTATTAAATTATTATTGATTAAAATAAAAATTATCTAATGATCTTTTCTTTTTTAGCACAGTGAAATTCCTGGCCCTAGTCATAACTTTACGCTTTGAGTCATTTGAAAGCATATTAGAAGGTTTTAAAATGAATGAACGTACGTGCATACGTACGTACGTATATCCGGTTCGTTTTTCATTTTCTATATTTCGAAAACAACTCAAGATATAGGCTTTGGACAAATTTCATTTAAAAGATAATACAATGAAGAAGATCTTATATCCCAAGATTTTATAAACGTGTTAAAATAACACACATAAAGTATATTCAATGTAAAATGCTCATAAACAAACTATACATGATTTGTCGACACTTTTTATGCATTTTATTGTGTGTCAAAAATCTATAGTTTGTTTACGGCATTTAACATTAAAGAGACTTAGTGTGTTAAAAGTATCTACAAGAGTAACACACTTGGATTTGTAGTGTAAGTGTTTACAATGTTAAACACTATAAACAAACTATAGCATGTTGATAAACGACAAGAAGCGTTTAAAATTAATGTAATTTGTTTATGGAATTTAACATTGTAAACACTTTAAGTGTTTAGTTTCTAAACACTTGGATTTACAGTGTTTTGATGGAATATTTTTGTCAATGTCATCATATTATCTATAACAATTGCATTTTGTTATAAAAAAATTTAAAAAAAATAGTAACAATGATATGATAAAATTACGAATTTCAATAAATAAAATAAAATAAAGCTTGATAAAATTTCCGGAAGATTTGAATAAAAAAATATATGATTAGAAAAAGCCAATAGGAATGGGAATTTTGTCATGTGGACACCAAGTGCATCCAGATCCATATTTAATTTTAAAATTGAATATAACTACTGTCAAAATATTACTTACTATAAAAAAACGATTAGAAAATAATACTTCCATGAACTCAATAAGAGAAGTGACGTATTGAAAGTAAATGATACTCAGCATTATGGATAATATTAATAACAGTCACCACCAACAATTCGTAGTGGCTACAGGTATAAATCTAGAGGTGCGGGGGTGATAAATGATCTTTTATATGTTCACTTGTCGACTATACATGGCGATATGCATATCATATATATATACATACATATATATTCGAAAATGTTGGTGTTGAATTATTGTGCGTGGGTTGAGAGTCGGCACAATATAATATAATAGAGCCCACAGGGGGGCAACCACTGACTCTCTTAAGAGTTCTGAATGGTCGTGTGCTCTAAAAATTAAATACCTCCACAACTTTAATTTATTATTTCATAAAAAATAATACTTAAATATTTGCATCAAATGTTATTATCGCCTACGAATCATTTCATTTATGAGATATATTATTTATATTACATGCTCCGAAGACAAAACAATTACTAAAATTAGATACTGCGCCATTTTTATGCTATTTATAAATGACAAATGATTTGGTCTAGGCAATTGTTCATTGTCATGATGTTGATAGCAGTTGGTTAAAGTGAAAATATCTTTTTTTTTAAATAAATCGACTTTATTAATTTGATTTTAGTCTAATTATTGTGAAAAATAAGACTGAAAGACAATAATAGCACCGTCTGTGTCTCGAAGCTCTTCTATCTCGTCAGATACAGAAGAGACCATGCAGAGAAAAAGGATCTATTTCTCAGCAGTTGATTGATGGACGCCTAGCGACTCTTATGTTTATAATTAGAGGTTGAAACGTTTCCGGTTACACGTGCAAGAATCGTCAAAAAAATTAATTTTCAAACTAAAAGTATGTAATATCCTGAAATATGATTATTTATTTATTATTTTTTTAGAACTATTATTTATTTAATGTATATAAATAATGTCATTTATTTGAATATAACTCTGTGATGATTGAAATAAATTCAACAATATTTTCTCTATATAATTATTTCTATTAGAGTGAATTTAAAACTTCCGCAATTTTTTTTGTTATCAAGAAACAATGTTAAAAGTTACGTGTGTAAAATAATTTTCCCGCGCATAAATTCAATAACCGTTGAATAAGAATAATTCACGTGTTCCGGAAGTACAACTGCGGGTTAAGCTTATAAAGTTTCTTATACACGTGTGCAAGTTTAGAAAAGTTTTCTTCAATAATTTTATTTAGGTAAAATAAAAAGAGTAAAAGAAAAATATATATATATATATACACACACGTCCCGTAAATTAATACTTGTAAAAAACATTCTCAAGTATCATTATTTGTATTATATTTACATAATTATTCTATCAAGATGATTATTATAATTAACATGGCGATAAGAAAAATGAAGAATAAAAAAATGAAAGTCCATTATTGTTAAATATTCACTGAAATAATGATATTGATTATAACTATATGAATAATAAAAAATAATAATTGAGTTTAAGGTTGACGTAATGAATAATAATTGATAAAATATAATTGTTATGTATAATACACACTTGGACAGTTGACTATATAATATTATAATAATGTGTATTATAAAATGGTTAGTATTATAGAGGAGTGGTCTGTTTGCCCAGAAATAAGTAATTCAAACCTTGAACATCGATCAAGAGTGTTAATATTTGCACGATTAATTCTTGATGTAAGACTCTTCCAAAGTATAGGAGGTATTTGTGTTAAGGCTTATTGCGAATTAAGATTGCCTTAGTCAAATCGGCAGTTGGCTCATAACATGACTGACCAATCAAACCTTTCTCTCAAGAGTTATTTTATCTTTCATTTATTTAATTATGACACTCATGTAAATTGAAAAAAAAAATATTCCCTCGTTTTTTTTTTATTTTTTATAATATACTATATCTCTACTCACCTCGTTTTTGCATATAACTGAAGAGATCATCGAGAAATTCCTTGCGTTTTGGGTCATCATTTATTTCATATAACTGTAAAGAGAAAAAAGTATGAAAATCAATAGAGATAATAAATAAATTAAAATGAGAATTATTCTTTTTTTTTTTTATATTAAAAAAAGAAGAAGGAAAAAATGATATCGTTATTTGTATGCTAAATTTTATAAATATACTGTATTAATTAATAAAAATATAATAACTCGAGTGTTTATGATGATGAATGTAGAATCGGGCAATTGGGCAAAAGTAAAATGTTATATTGGGGTGTGTAATAAAAACAGGAGTGAAACGAGTATGCTCGTAGCGACAGACAGATTAGTTAACTCCGATTATTAATGATTCCGTTTAACCCATCTCTTATTGGGTCCCAAACACATACCATTTCTCCCTTGTGTCCACGAGTGAATGAAAGCCGAACCCTTCAGGCTAATAAGCAAGCTGTATTATCATATTTGTTATGTACGATGTACTATATCTAATCTGAAACACTCTAATTGCTTTTATAATACGACTCTACCAATCCTTAAATATATATACCAACACCTATTCTGACTATTTCATTCTTTTTTATATCTCTTTCTTTGCCTTGTAAGTAACTTTGCTAAATTAATTTTCTTCAATCATTTCTCTATTACATCATTTACACCAATAATATTTATCTAACCATTTACACTGCAAATAATAATAATTTAAATATATTTCTATTATTTCGTGAAAAAAATCATTAACATAAAAGTAATGTTTGATAATAATGATTCATTTGAATATAAAAAAGGTAATTATTATTTTAAAAATTCTATCTACAGACTATCCAATTAAATGAAAAAAAAAAAAAAGTTAAAAAGTCACTTTGATAGATAGATTTTTTTATGTATATCAATCATAAGAGAATCTCTGAGAAAAAAAGAATAATAAAATTATATGTTATTTCTCTGATTAATATCATGAAAACGATGCCGATATTAAGATTGAAGAATGATCGGTTATATGATCCATAGATGATGGGGAAATGATCTAAGTAATCAAGGCAGAATGAACGAGGCCTTGAGAAATGATCTGGGTGGCAGGATCTTGATCGCCCGTTCATTTATTCCTATCCCGAGTGTTTTTTCCCGGCAACGCCCCCGTATAAGATCTTTCCCACCCTGTTGTATACACTCAAACGAAACACGGTATTTCTCAAGGGCCATTTTGTAACAATTCTTTTCTTTTTTTTATATATATATATTTTTGTTCTTTCGTACGTCTATCTTGGTCTGACTTGCCCGCGGAATACGAAAGATGAGCTCGTTAGGGGCAAGTAAAGCGGGGGCGAAGAGGAAAAGAGGCATATTGATTGATCTACAGTTAAGCGGACTGACGGCAGCCAGGGGAAAAAGACTGAAGAAAAGGAAATGAACGAGAGGTAAATAAAGATGGGGGCCACGGAATTTGCTCTCTCAAAGATGCATGCGCCACAGCCCCGCCTCTCCCACTCTCTTTTCTTCTTTTCTTCCTTCTCCTCCACCACCTTCACCACCAATATCGTCATCCTCCTCTTCATCCTTACACACTCACTACCTTCCTTTTTCTTTCCTCCAACTCCTTCTGTCTCTTCTTTTTGTGGTAGACCGTGAATAATAATTAACAGACGTTAATCGAGGCTCTTGACCTCAAGTATATACCCGTTCAACTTCTTAAATTGTCCAACTCTCTAGACTTGATCGTGATAGACATTAGTAAATGACATTGTATGTAATTACACTGTTAAATATTACAACTGATTAATCAATCAATTTTTATTTAACGATAATTACATGTAAATTAGTCAGTTGGATCAATTCATTTCGATCTTGGTGTTGGCTTTTTTCTTTTAATTTTATTTTACACTTTGGTTACATTGTAACTTTGTTTAATAACCAGCATATTGCGAGTATCGTTATCAGCAAGGCACATTTTAGAAACAATAAAATTATTTATTAGTGGTAGAGAAGTAGGTATTATTATATATGTATACTCTTGTGAAAAATTTCATATGTCCCCAGTCTGACGAAAATCTATATCGCTACTGAAATCACAAGAATTACTGATTGCGACAATTGATAATTTACTTCCGCTCATAATTATTTCCCAACCAAGTAATAAAAGTGAACTTTGCAGATAAATATTCTGTGATAAATTCAACTTATCTACCAGGGTCGTTCAACTCGAAGAATAACAATAAACAAATTCATAAAATTTATTTCTACAGGAAAAAAAAATTCAAGTTAATCATTTTTGTGGTGTGATATGAAAATATTTCATAAAAGTCGGAGAAATGAATGTATAAAAATGTCATAATATCGATTGGAAAAAGGTTAAGTACTGAGTAAAGATGACAATTTTTATAAGTCAGTTATTTCAGTAAATTTTTCGCTCGAGTGAATTGCTTGAGAATATAATAATCGAGTCAATCGAAGGATACTGATAATTACAGGTTTTAAATCATTTTACTGGATTATTTTTGTTCGTGGAAAGGCGAGCAATGAATGAAAGATAAATTTACCATGTTTTAAATCAAGATAAAATCTAAAAAAAATTATCAATAGCAATTATGTTTCAACAATACTAGTTAATTGTTCAATATGCTATAGCTTTGATGATTATTTCAATGATAATAATATTTGTGTTGCAGAAAGAATAGGAAAAAAAAAATTTTATTACTCGAAATGAGATACAAAGAAATGAAAAATAATTATCTCACAATCGTCTAAAAAAGAATATTTCAAAAAAAGGGAAAAAATGGCTAAAGTGAATCAGTATTTTACCTCACCAGATGTCGTCGGGTCTCTTTTACAAATAAAACATTCCATTCTGCGCCCCACACAATCCTCCTCCCTACTACTCAATACGTTTATATATAACTGAATTTTATGTTTTTAGCTAGAAATATTAAATCGTACTTAAATACGTTTTATGTCGACCGCCCAATAATCTCAACTTTTTCTAATTCATATGTATATAAATTCTTAACTTTCTTATATATTCATTTTTTCTTCTTAGCATATTTTTATAACATCAAAAATATTAAATAAAATTCAGAGAGTCCAGATTGAATTAAGGCATTAAATAATTCCAATAAAATAAATTATTGGAGTATAAAATATTTCAATGTAAAGGAAATTAATAAAAATATTAATAAACTGATGAACGAATTGATTAAAAAAAGAAAAGAAAGGAAAGAAAGAGTGTCCTCCTAGTTCATTGAAGAAATGATTTATCATCAATATGTTTCATGATTTTAATTCGGTAGCTTGGTTCAATTTGATCGTTTCTTGCGATATATAATCGAATACAACGATTTTCAATGATGATAAAACTACACTACAAAGTGTGTAATATATAATACACATCAGGTATATAAAATCCACTGAGAGAGCCTTAAGGCTTGGATAAAAAAAAAAATATAAAAATGATGCGATCCTGATACTCTTATTAATCAAGCCAAGATCAATTAACTTCTGGACAGAGATAGTATATGAAGGGGTGAGTATATCAAGGTGGCGCTCATCGTGCATATTCTTCAGCGAAAACTGGTCGCAAGGACCCTATCTCCCACGTCGGCGTGGATCAAATGAGCTCGCGGTTCGATTATAATAAATCAAAGCATAAATAATGTCGGGACGAATGGTCCGAGTGGGGTAATATGCATCCAGCAATCGAATATAGCCACAGACCAGTTGAGATTACTCTTTTTTCCTTTTCTCACCTAAACGTTCAACAGGAATTAATGTTCTTTTGCTCCAGGCATCGTATTGGTATAGGAATCAAACATTTGTACATCTTTTCTTTTTTGGTAAATTTTTGCTTGAAATATTTATTATCATCATCATAATAATAAATAAGTCTTTATATTAAGTTGTGTTAATATTTGAAAATAATTGATAAGACAGGGTATAAAAATAATGGAGTATTCCGACGATACTACCATATTCAACATCTCAACTTTGTATAAAACTCTTGTGGTCAGAACCTGGTCTTCATTTGCTGCGATTTCACTGGTTCAACATGCCTCATGCTTGATGTTCATGCAATGTTATTTCTTGCTTGTATTATTATTGTTTGTATATGTGGCCCTAGTGTGACTAGTGCTGTTGGGCTTATATAATTGTTTTAAATAAATAAATAATCAGTGTAAAAAACTAAACAGAAAATCCTTTGGTAAAAATTGCATGTGATCAATATTTTCAAAGATATAAAGGATAAAAGGTTACCAATCACAACTTGTTAAGTCTTAAGAAGACAAGAAATTTCTTTTTTATGTAGATATGTTCACGATATAAACTGATGATCACAGTGAATTACACAGTTCACACATCTAGGGAAAATTGGTGTAAACATATCGAACATAAGCTGGACAAAAAAGTGCTGATAAGAAAAAATGAGCAGAAATAGGAATGCTTTTGAATATGTAAAACTAAAAATTGCAAATAATGACAAAGACGATAAATAACCAAAATGAATATTGAATGGAATTATTAATAATTAATAAAAAAATATCAATGCAGCTTAAAAGAAAACATGAATTTTAAAATGAATATAAATCCGTAGTGTCATCGGAATTTGCCATTATTTTTAAACCCTACAGATGTGATGAATAATTTTTTATTTAACTGAGAAAGAGAAAGAAAGAGAGAGCAAAAAATGATCATTTAAACATCACTTGTATATCAAAGATTAGACTCTTTCTCTTGGTTTCCTCGTTGTATATTTGTTCGATTAGCGTAAAGGTGTAAGTTGTTTCGTTTCCTCGTTAATAAACGTCCTCCTTACGTTTCATCTCAGCGATTTCTCGAACTCAAGTCAGAAGTAATACATATCCGCAATAGTTCTCATGCTTACAACCACAAGAATATACATATAGTAAAAAGAGATCTAGACAATGCTTTAGCCTGTTTTTCTGCGTGAGACTTGGGTGAAATATCGAAAAATTCCTTTTTAAATATTACCCTCATAGTTATTTATATCACTGTAAATATTAGTGTTTTATTTTAATACATTAAAAGTGTCTTAAT